TGTCCGAGCAACGTGGTATCTCAGCTTTTCTCACTGTACTTGAAGTGGGAGGTTGAAATGTGAGCTGTGTCAGCGTCTTCGACTGGCATTTTGTGCTTCGTTTTTTCTCTATCTCTCTTTTGTTCTTTAAACCTTCCAATTTCTGTTTCGCTGTGAAATCTTTTACCCCTTTTACTGCTCCCGGGTGTTTGAGCGATCCAGAATGCAGGGTGGAAACATGATAATTGTTGTTGATGACTTGGAAGGCAAAAGATGACTGTGATATGGTGTTTGAAAGTGATGCGATATCCTCTCCTGTGGCAAGTCTCGTAGGACAATTAAGCAATGGAGGTAGAGCTTGACCGGTGACTGGATGGGTCCCTTGCGGATGATACAATGGTTCCGTGGACTTCACTGCCGAGGTCAACAAGAGTAAGGACTCCTGAAAAGTATCGAGAATTTTAGATCCTCTCGCCTCGAACAGCGGGTTAGGTCGCAAGTCGCTTTCATATGATAGAAACCCTTCTGGAAGAGCTTGTATCGGACAAAGCTGCTGCTGCATTCCATTTTGTGATGCTGTTGGATCTGAAAGAGCGAACTTCTCACTTTTATCAGAAAAAGATTTGAATACCTCAGCTACTGCCCGGATTCTTTGTACTTGGCGATCTGTAGGTGCGGTTTGAGCGAGACTGATCCGGCGATGAGATTTCTCTCTGTATCCCATTCTGAGACGTGACAAACCGCTGTGGTAGACTTGAAAGAACACTATGCTGAAGGGTACGGGAACGAGAGTGTACAGAGATACCTTCAGGACTGGAAAGCTGTCGCTCAGATGTCAAATGAAGGGCAACAACGGAAACTTAATTTTCTGAAATATTTATTTGTAACCGACAGTTGAAACGTTTGCAAAGCCTATGATTTCCCCCAGAACGGCTTACGATCTTCGACTTCTGACGCTCAACTCGGTACAAAATGGAGCCAAATATTGACGCAGGTATAATTGCAGAACGGATCGCCCGCAATCCAACTTCTGAGTCGTCTCAGAAACGATACAAGTCATCCGCTCAATTGTACCATGAATGGCTGGTGGCACTTGGCGCTAACGTTGATGAGCTTGATTGCTCGCCTACAAGAAAAAAGGAATCTGATCCTGTTTTTGTAGCTTGTGCTCTTATCATCGCAAGGTGTGGTCCGCGAGAAGATGGTTTCGAGGGACTTAAAGCAAAGTCAACAGGAGGCGCAATCAAAAGTGCTGTAGTGTCCTACTGGAGACGAAGAGGAATAGATGGAGAGTATGTCAGACTCCCAGATGGATCCTTTACTGGTAACCCTGGCAAGTCTCCTGACCTGCAGTCCTTAATAAACCGATTGGATGAAGCGCAGCGCATATCTCGTGCAAATATAACGAGAAGGGCCTACCAAGAAACTCATGAGGATGTCAGAGCTCTTTACTACAGATTTGTCGAAGATCAGCTACCTGCTGCTATTAGAAGAGACCCGACAGTCAACTACTCCGAGCTTCAAGTCGCTTGCTTGAATATGATGCAGTTTAGCTCCGTATCAAGAGGTTCGGAAATGTTAGCGCTCAAGGTGAAAGACTTCTGCTTCACTGGGAACACAATTGATTCACCAATTGTTGGAGTTCTTCCAATTACTAAGAACCGGAAAACAAGTTACACTTACTTCAGATTTTCTAAAGCTGTAGATGTGTCCATTTGTGGCTTACGAGCACTCATGGGGTGGTTCTGTGTCTTAAGATCCCACGCTGTATGCAGTGGAAACCTCTTCGTTCAAGTGAAGTCTAACGTCCTTCAAGGCGGTACTAAATTGGATGGCAGTTCGTACGCCCGTCTTTTACGGGGCATGGGCGAGAAGTGTGGATTCTATGGATTGGCTGAGCACAGCGCGCGTAGAGGGGGAGCGGGGTACTACTACTACGTTCTGCGACGAGATTTGTTCTTTCTCTACAGGGCATTCTCATGGGAGAGCCTGACAGAAATGTTGAAATACGTGGGCTTGGAAGACGTTCACAACTCGTACGCCTTGCTTGGGTTTACTGCTTTTGGAACGAATGAGTTATTCTTTTCTATGCAACCCACGAATCATTAGAGAACTGTTTCCGATGGTGTTTACCTACCAAGTAAACCTAAATTTGTTTCAGGAGCGCACGATTCTATTCATGTATTTCGTAAAAAAGCACCTCTGTTTGTATTATTTCTGACAATCACAAATTGAACACAAATGGCAGTCCACCATTACGTCAGAGGTGCCTTTCTCTGTATATGAATGTAAATTTTGCGTTTGATGTTCATAATTTCAATTGAAAGCCTTGTATTTAGGACTACTCTAGCGGAAAAACGTCTAGAGAAGATTCGAGAAAGTTTTGAATGGAATTTCATCGCATACTGGTTGCTACAATCAGTTATTCAGAATCTGATGACTTCATGATTACACCTTGATCCTTAAACGTGATCGTACTTACACACGTAAGATGATTATAACCCCTTGTAGTCCCGTTCTCTTCAAATGCAGGGCCTGATAGTTATGATGGCGAAAGAGTCTTCTTGCTTTGCTATCCGTAAGAACCTTTGACCTACTCTTCTATCATAAAACTGTAATGCAAATTTCACTGTGAAAGTAATATACTGTGAAGTTCGTGATTCAACTCATGAAATGTCATAGCGTACTGTGGAATCAAGAAAATGACAGTTATGATCTTGAAAGAGATCTTGACGACAAAATCTCAAAAGGCGTTGATTAAAGACAAAACTAACAATCACTTAGGCTTCTTTTGCCATTCAGCTGCAGACGGCTAGAACTCTCGTCCATGGTTGATATGTATCGCTATGATGAGCTTAGAACAGTTCTTGCAAAACTCTACTCCTTATAGTTCCGTACACGTAAAACTGATGGAGAATTTAAAGGAGACAGTAGTACTAATGTATCCTTAGATAATACCGCAGGGTGTATATATAATGCTATCGAGCATGACAAATTATGAAAATATTAACAACTAAAGAAGACATGGTCTGATTAGACATGGTCCGATTGTGAAACGTTTAAGAGCATTTAAAAATAGAGCTAGCCATGGACGTATACGCATTGTGTTGCCAGTAAACGAAGGATTACACTGTGAAGACGATATGTTCCCCATAAATAGGTTCTTCTCTGCAGAACAGTTGGGCGTTCGATGAGGGGGGGTCTTCAAAAAACCTGAAGAAACGTGGGCCCTGCACACGTTGAGCCCTTCAAAGACGTTGGGCCCTCCGAAGACGTTGGGTCTTCGACAAAATGTGTGCTCATCGACGAGGTTGGGTCCTGCACAAGTTGGGCCCTTCAAAGAGGTTGGGCCCTCTGTGGTACAACTCTCCTCAAACCCTAGCGGGCGAGAGGCTCGGAGGATGAGCCGAGGGAGCTCGCGACGCGAGACGCGCGGCGCGCGGTTACCGAACGGTCGGACTTGCGAAAAGAGAGTGGCACACTGGCCGGTTACGCGCAGTCGTCCCGAGGTGCTAGATCGGAGACGACCGGTAAGGGGTTAGAAGCCAACGCGCGAGAGAATACCGAAACGGTAGTACGTAGGCGCGAAAGGGAGGGGGGCAAGTCTGCCCCCCGTGTTTACTGCGAGGACGGTGTCCAGGTCTTAACCCCTCAGAGGGACGCCCGGGACACCTGTCCAATACAGTACCTGTCACTTACTGTGGACCAGGTACTGTACGCGATTGAAAATCTAGCGCCGTCATTACACTACCGCACGGATCCTCACACTACGCGCTTGCATTACACTGCGCGCGCATTATCCCCACACGGTTCCTTACACTACACGTGTACCCAGGCGTACACCTGTCACTTGCTGCGCCCGTTCGGTAATCATGCGTATTACACGTGGGCCACGGTGCCCCGTGCCCGCTGCGCGCGGCCGCTCCTACTGTACACCGACCGCGGATCGGTCGTTGTACCACACCCTCCGAAGACGTTGGGTCTTCGACAGTTGGGTCATCGGCACAAAGTGTGCTCTTCGACGAGGGTGGGTCCTGCACAAGTTGGGCCGTCCGAAGAGGTTGGGATGTCCGAAGACGTTGGGTCTTAGACAATTGAGTCTTCGGCACAAAGCGTGTTTTTCAACGAGGTTGGGTCCCGCACAAGTTGGGCCGTTCAAAGAGGTCGGGCCCTCCGAAGAAGTTGGGTCTTCGACAGTCCTTCGACACAAAAGGTGCTCTTTGACGAGGTCGGGTCCTGATGAAACGTTGGGTCGCATACAGGTTGGGACCTCTAAAGAGTTCGATAGTGTAGAAGCGTTGGGCTGACCACTTGGGACTCCCAAGAGGTTGGGTTGGGTCTTCGACACAAAGTGAGGCATTGGACGAGGTGGGGTCTTCAAGATACGTGAATAAATGATGGAACCTGCAAAAGTTGGGCCCTTTAAAGAGGTTGGGGCCTACGAAGAGGTTGGTTCCAGAAAAAAGTGGACTCTTCGACGACGTTGGGTCCAGATAAAACGTTGGGTCGGGTATATAGGTTGGGCTCTCCGAAGACTTGGGGACTTCGACGCAAAGTATGCTCTTCGATATGGTTAGGTATTTGTGTAGTGTTATTTTCGGAGGTCTGGTTGGTTATTGTATGTTTGTCGTTTGTTTCCTAAAAGTTTCCAGCAGAATGCAAAAATGCATATGCAGGGTGCAATGGCGGTTTCAATGTAGTGTAGTATTGAGTCTAAGGATGTTTTGGGAATGGATCCTCCTTTTCTGACAATACTTTTACAGACATCCTGGCTTACATCTTCCTTTGCGTTATCGGGTGTCTGAGAGAGGTGGGAGTTTCACTTCGGGCGGTGGACTGTTTTAATTGAAAGTTAGGATTTATCATACCGGCGGCATCGCTGGGGGGTTTCCCGTCGTCAAAACGGTTGCCCGCATCGGAGATGCACACATGATGTTATGAAATTGTGAACTCTAAACTGAAGGAAAAGGGGTGTGCTCGGCGATGGATCAAGCAATCTGCGCAGTGATTGACGTAATGCTATGTTCACTAGCTACAGTAGCTATGCTAACGCTGCTACAGTAGTTTGCCTGCATACTGCAGCTACTGTAAAGCATGGTCTGCCCTGCTGGAAACGAGCCTGGTCTCCTGGACAATGTACATTGCGATCCATATCAAATTCTTGCAAAACTCCGCGAATTAAACGCCTCTGGATAGGCTATCATCCTCGCAGGGGCACTGAACCGCTTCCTATTGTCATTCTGCAGACCAGAGCTCCATCTCCCCGGCATCGATCACATCTTCGACAACCGCCAAAGCTGTCATCCACGCACCCGTGTTCCGATTTTGCTAGATAATCCGACCCAGTATGGCTTTCATCTCCTTCCCATCGACGTTTATCGGCACTAATGTCAAAGCCGCATCGTTTTCGCGACGGTCGCGTTCTGCCGTGCGCACAACTCCCATTGCTTCTGCCGTCCCGCGCAATGCAAATCTCAAGAAGCTGCAGGCTGGATATCTGTTTCCTGAGATCGGTCGCCGGCGCCGTGCATACCTGGAGCAGAACCCTGGTGCAGATATCATTTCGCTTGGCGTTGGGGATACCACGATGCCGATCCCGGAACACATTTGCTCCGGGCTTGTCGGCGGAGCTTCAAAGCTCGGCACGGAGGAAGGGTACTCGGGTTATGGTGCTGAGCAAGGCATGGGTCCTCTCAGGGAGAAAATTGCTCAGGTTTTGTACAAGGGGACCGTTAAGTCGGACGAGGTTTTCGTTTCAGACGGTGCGAAATGCGATATTTCTAGACTGCAACAGGTCTTCGGTGCCACCGCGACCGTTGCCGTCCAGGATCCGAGTTACCCAGTTTACGTCGATACATCGGTTATGATGGGGCAGACAGGCCTTTATGATGAGAGCAAGGGTCAGTTTGAAGGAATTCAATACATGCAATGCGATGCGGAGAACGACTTCTTCCCGGATCTGTCTAAGGTCAAGCGCACAGATCTCATCTTCTTTTGCTCCCCGAACAACCCCACGGGTGCTGCTGCCACCCGCGAACAATTAACACAACTGGTCAACTTTGCGAAGAAGAATGGAAGTATAATCATTTACGATGCTGCCTACGCTCCCTTCATTAACAACCCAGACGTCCCTACTAGTATCTACGAGATCCCAGGCGCCAGGGACTGCTCGATCGAGGTCAACTCGTTTTCCAAGTATGCTGGATTTACGGGTGTGCGTCTTGGCTGGGTTATCGTTCCTGATGAGCTCAAATTTGCAGATGGAAGTGCCGTTCGTGACGACTTCAATCGCATCATGTCAACGTGCTTTAATGGTGCGAGCAGCATCTCCCAGAACGGGGGGCTTGCATGCTTGGAAGATAGCGGTCGTAAGGAAATTGAGGATCTGATTGCCTACTACCTCGGCAATGCTGCTGTTCTGCGCAAGACCATGCTGGAACTTGGCTTCAAGGTTTATGGTGGGACTGATGCGCCTTATATCTGGGTTGGTTTCCCTGGGAAGAAGAGCTGGGACGTTTTCTCGGAGATCCTTGATAAGGCGCAAGTCGTCACGATCCCTGGTGCTGGGTTTGGCCCAGGCGGAGAGGGTTACCTCCGTCTGAGTGCATTTGCTCCTCGGGAAGCGTGTGAGGAGGCCTGCAAGAGATTGCGCGCTATGTATGCCGGTGTCCCAGCCGCATAGATGCGTAGGGACACCTGATGCAGGCTTGGAGCTGTACGTCTGAGTCATTACCGTAGATACATGGAGGGCCGAGGTTGCAGCTCCTGGCTCGTTTGACGATTCCATTGCGTTCCGCGAGTCCGTAGAGATAGCTTAGGTTCACCAGGGGTGCATCAGTCTTCTGTAAATCTGACACAGCGTTGGCGTGGGAGACGAATGAATGCTTTAAGTGGTCACTTGGACATGATTTGAAGTACGTCTTCATCAGTGAGCTTGTGCTGGAGGCCGACCCGTTGTGGATCATGTTTTGTTGACCTTCCCCATACGAGCGCGTAACGGAACTGCGATGGATCTGCGAGACTTCTGTGAATGGACTTGCATGCGTCCTCCACTTTGCTGCCTCCGCGTAATACAATAGGTTCTTTGAAGTCAGGTGGGGCGCCTTGCTTCTTCGTATATACGCGGCAAAGGCCTAGATGCTCCCAGATCTGCTCGATGACATACTCTAGATTGAGCTTGAGGTAGCAAGACATGACGACAGAGTTTTCTTGATGGGCGAGACGATTGACCTCCTCCAGCGAGACCGCATCCACCTTGCTGTACAAATACAGACACCGAATGTATTGCCTATTATCATCGATAACATCAATCATCTCGTCGATGGAGATATCCTGGCGAATGACGACATCAGCGTTATGTATCTTATACTCTTTGAGAATGTTCCTGCACACAGATTCTGTAATATGAGTCAAGGGCAAAGTGGCGGTGAAAGCAATGCCGCCTGATTTCTTCGGCTTGAAGTATACATCGGGCGGGGTCTTGTTAAGACGAATACCAACGGCCTCGAGCTCTCTCTCAAGCAAGGTGCGTTGGATGTCGGACTTGGTGGCGTCTAGCATGAGTAGAATGAGATCGGCTGAGCGAGCTACAGCAATGACCTGGCGGCCACGGCCTTTGCCCTGCGAGGCGCCCTCAATGATTCCGGGGAGATCTAACAGCTGGATGGTGGCGCCTTTGTGGGTGAGGATACCCGGCACGCATGTGAGGGTTGTGAATTCGTCTGTGCGGACCGGATGGAGTTGTGTGCGGGTGTGAAATCAGGTCAGACATGGCATGCATCGAGCGGACGTTGTCTTCGAGAGTGGATGGGGATATATACGCACAGTTGGCAGCCTCGCTCTCCGTCTCGGTGACAGCGCTGAGGAATGTACTCTTTCCCGTTGATGGGAAGCCGACGACGGCGACGCGTGCATCTCCGTACTTGACGACCTCGAATCCTCTCTCCGCGGCGTTTCCGCCCGACTTGGGACCTTCCAGGGCTTCGCGCCGGAGGCGTGCGAGCTTGGCTTTTAAAATGCCAAGATGCTGCGCGGACGGGGGAACGCGGTGGTCAGAATAGTTGCGGACAGTGGTTGGAAGAGAGGAAGTGGGGATGAATGTGGAGAACTTACACCTTCTGTGGCTTTGTTCTTCTGCGTGCGGGACATCTCTGTTTCGATATCTTTGATGCGTTCTTGGACCCCCATGTTGAAGTCAGGATCTTGTTCTGGACGCTGAGAGTTTGGTCTGGGTATGCAACGGGCCGCAAGAAGCGCGATGACAGAAGATGGATTTGAGGAGTGGAGACTTTCAGGTTTCTGTCTGTCGAACTGAAAGGAGAGAGCGAAGGAGCGGTATGGAATGCTGAGACTGCCAGACGGGGAAGATGCTCGTCGGGATTTTGATGGTGATCGGGGTGAAGGGGGCATGGAAGCGTCTACCGTAGCAAGCTGCCATTCATTGAACACGTGTGCTACTTGGCACGGCCAAAAAAAAGGTCCACGTGTCACTTGTTATGCTTTAAGCCCAGCCGTCAGGTTACTATGATGGTAGCTGTAGCAACCCAGCTCTGTAAGGAAAAAGCCGCTCGTACTGAAACATGATTCGTCCATACTGTGTAAAACGAGAGATTTGGTCGAGATTGGCCTGAAAGACCGTTTCAACCGGCAACTACCCTTAGTTTACGGAAAGTGTACTGTACCCTTGAAGGGTACAGTACACTTTCCGTAAACCACATCTCGACTGTCCAATACGCCGAGATCACGGCGGCACTCTTGAACTCGTCGACGCGCCCCGCATTCGCCCCCGCGATTCCCCCCGCCCCCCCGCATCATGGCTCCGTCCCGTCTCGCTTTCGTCCCGGGCCTCTCGCTCCCCCTTTCACGCCCGTCCGCCGCGCTTGATCGGCTGCGTCTGTCGCGCCGACGCCCGCCCCTCTCAGTCCCGCGCGCGTCGGCCGACGACAATGCAGCGGCCACTGCGGCGGCCGTCGACGCCCAAGTCGGCTCCGCGCCCGATGTCGCCTTCGGCGCCCTCGCGCCGCCGCTGCGCGGCCTGCTGGCCGCCGCGACCGTCCTCGCCGCGTCCGCCATCTCCTTTTCCGCGGCGCCGCCGCGCGGCATCGCCCGCCCCGGCGCCGCCGTCGCGGGCGCCGCCGTCGCCGCCGCGGGCGTGGTCACGCTCCGAAATGGACCGAAGAAGGCCGCCCGGAAGTATCTCGCCAAATTGCTCATGGAAAAGGGGCTCGCCGATCCAGAGCTGCCGCCGCTGGTGCAAGGGATGAAGGGCAAGTTCGGCCTGAGTGACGAGGACCTCACGGAAATGTGCGAGACGACGTACGAACTGTACTTGCTCGCGATGGTCGCCGTCCCGGATGTTAGCTTTGGGGAGATTTCCCAGCTGGGTAGGCTGAAGGCCGCTTTTAGGTTAGGTGGCGCAAGCGTTGGAGACGCTCACTTTGAAGCTTGCCGCGCGTTTTATCGCAACAACGTTGTCTACATGGATGCGGAGGACGATGATTTCGAGCGTGACGCGGCCCAGAGAAAACTGGATAAGCTCCTTTTCTTGTCCGATCGCATGTATGAGGACAAGGAGACCGAGGAGGCCTACCGGTACGAGCAGTCGAGGTTGTTCAAGTTCTTTTCCATGAACAAGGATAGATACGAGGAGCGCGTTGCACGCGTCGCGCTCCCATTTTATAAGGATGTGGTTGCCCGCGCTTGCGTCGATTCGTCAGTTGGTAGCGAGGATCTTTTGGCTGCTCAGGCGACTTTGGGCGTCAAGGACATACAGGCGGAACGCATCCGCTCGGATGCGTATGCAGATCGCGTTGACTCCCTTGTATCACAAAAGGGGAAGCTTAACGAAGTTGACAATGAATCCCTCGCCCGGTTACGCACGTTGCTCAAGATTGGCGACGACAGAGCCAGCTCTACGCTAACAACGCTTGCTGAGCCGGTATATCGCATGGAGGTCGGTGAGGCTCTTGATGCGGTTAAGAAGGCTGAGGAATCTTTCGCGAGCATCTACGGCCGCCTGGCTCTGCGGCAGTCGGAACTCTCGTTCCCTTCTGATGCTGCGAGGGTCGCGATGTCTAAAGAAATTAGCGAGAGGGCGAGCGACCATATTCGCACAGCGAGCAAGTATCTGCGTGTTCAGAATGTCAACGGATGCATCACCCAGCTGAAAGAGCTCCTACAGTATACAGAAGGGATCGTCGGCTTGTTGAAGGTGTCCAATGATGACGTCCAGGACGAGACTGCAATTATCAAGTCATACATGCCGAAGGTTGCCAGCGTCCTTTCGCGCATGGAGCCACGTCAGATGTATCGTATCTATCTTTCAAAGTGCCTAGAAAGCCGCCTCATTGGTCCCGAACAAGAGACTCAATTGGCTAGATTACGAGCCGTGCTGGGGCTGACGGAGGAGGTCGCCCTTGAAGCTTTCAAGACTGCTGCTGGACCAGTGTACAAGAAGGCTGTCTCTGATGCAGTAGCTGCTGGTACATTCGACGACGAGCGCAAGGCTGGTATCACCAAGATCAAGGACGATTTAGCTCTGCCACTCGAGACGTCCAAGAGCATTGATTTGGATATTTACAGGAACAAACTTACGAGACTTGTGGATGGTAATCGAATCCTCCAAGAGCACGAATCGCAGGAGCTCTTCGTGTTGAGAGAGTTTCTGGGGTTGTCGCCAGAGGATGCAGCTCCAGTACACAAGTCGTGCATGGGTCCGGTGTATGAACAGTCTGTGACGGAGGCGATGGGTCCTACTGGTATCATGCTCGATGAATACAAGGGTGGTCTTGAGCGATTGCGAGAACGTTTGGGGCTCTCGAGGGAAGACGCTGATGGTGCATTCTTTAGAGTCGTCAAGCAGAGGATGCTCCTTTACGTGACTAGAGCGATGTCTCAACTTGAGAAGCGCCAATCGTTCCGTGGCCAAAACGAAGAACGTGATGTTGGTGATGACCCGAACATCAAACGAGCTGGAGCAGTGTTGGGTATCGATGCAGGCGGTCTTCCAATTGAGCTCTCCAATCTAGTGGACTTTTATGTCAGGAATGGCTTGGCAAAGGAAGAGGAAATTGAAGTCGATGGAGAGAAGAAGACCGTTACCAAGTATCCAGTCACATTGCGGGGCGATCTCCAACCAAAGGTCTACAACGAACTATACAAGCAATACGTCATTCAGTGTTTCAGTGCTCAAACACGTGGGGAGAAGCAGCGTTTGTTTGCAGCCCTGGACCAATTGGGCTCTATTTTGGGAATGCAAGAAGACGAAATCTCCAACATTCATTCAGACATTGGTACCGTGATTTACAAGAATTACATCAATCAGTCACTACTGAAAGGTCCTCTGGAAGACAAAGATGTCGATTTCTTGTCCAACATTCAGAAAATGTTAAGCATGAAGGAAGACCATTGTGCTTCTCTCCTGAAGGATGCGAAGAATAACAGAGTATCTGTGTTGCTTGAACAGATATATGCGCTACCAAAGGTATTGCCAGAGACAGTGAAGAAATTGCGCAAAACGGCTGCCCTTCTGGATGTAGATTTGGTCAAGGACTTGAAAGTGTCCGCAGACCAAAGGGCCAAGCTCTTCGGTGTGGAGATCGATGCAGCAATTGACACTGGGGCCTTAGCAGCAGACAACCAGGACCTTGTCCAAGAAGTGCAAAAGAGTCTTCAAGTCGAAGACGCGGCAGCTAAGGACATTCTGCTGGCTTGTATTCAGCGCCGTACTCTGTCTCATCTCGTTCAGGCATCTGCCAGTTTGAGACAAGACAGGTCAGAGTCAGCGGTGGCTGAACTGAAGACCATGCTTCGGTATGGAAAGCTACTCCCCGCGAAGGTCAACGCACCTGCCGTTTCTGTTTCGGAAAGACGGGAGTTGTATCTTTTGTTCCAGGCAGACGTGATTACCGATGGTGTTGTAGACGCGCGAGCGAAGGAGCAAGTCAACTTGTTGAAAACGATGTTCGGGTTTGTGGACGCAGACCTTGAACTGGTGTCGTGATCGGTGGTGGAATAGCAAAGTGTGTTCATTTGCTTTTGTGCTTTAGTTGCGGAAGACAAGGGAGATCCATAAACATATTGGAAGTGGCATCACCTCTTAATTGGAGCTACGGTATGACGGGTTTGTGAAAATAGCCCGGAGCGAAATCTTGATTTGATTGTAGACCGTAGATGTCACGGCTTGGATGCCTTGGCACGCAGTACTGTGAGTGCGCGTTTAGCAAGAAAGACATTTGAGCGTGAGCAAATGGACTCCATTTGTTCTCTGAAGTTGTCAGCTACACCAGGCAGGTCACGCACAACGGTGAAGAGCAATTTCCCAAACCGCACACTCTTCTCCAAACCGACTACATTCTTTTCCAGCGCCAACACCACAAGGCGCGCTGCGTCTTCCTCATTTTTGCATTTCCCCAGTAAAGCTTCCACTACGCGAATGCCATCCTCCCCCCACGTCGCCTCGCACCATGCGCGAAGCCCCTTCAAAGCGCCAGCAGGCGCAACTACGGGCGCCGTCCTCACCAAGACTTCCGCCACGGCGCCACTGACCGGCGACTCCTCCGCACAAACGCGGTACAGCCGCACGGCCACGCGCCAATGGCGCTCCGCAAACGCCACGAGCGCCTGCATCGCATCGCGCGGCGCCGGTGTCTTGAGCTGCTTCACATACGGCACGACCAGTGTGTCCATGATGTCCGCGGCCAGCACGGGACCGGCGGGCTGCATCAGGGCCGTCACGACCGGCGCCAGGACAGAGGCCAGCGAGTCGTCCGCCGCGATGAGCGACAGAAGCGAGCGCGCCGCCCCCGAGCGACAGATAAGCGAAACGGCCTCCGCCGGCGGCGCGGCGTGGGCAGACGTCGTCGCCCAGGTTCGCACTGCATGCGCGGCGGCTTGCTCTTCGGGCGACGCAGCGGGGGGGCTGGCCTCCGTCGCGGGGGCACGCTTTTGGGGTTGGGGGCGGCTCGTGGCCGCTTTTTCAGGGGTCCCTGGTGACGCGGCCTCCACAGCGGGCGCCTTCCGACCGCCGCCCTCTTCCGCTACGACTCTGCTCTCGTCCTCGCTCTCGCCCTGGTCCCGCGCGTCCTCTCCGCCCATGCCGTCTGGCTCCCCTCCCGCCACTTGGCGTGCGTGCTGGGCATCACCGAAGAATCGGCGGTCCTCCTCGGTCTCCGGCCACGCCTCCCAGCCCGTCTCGCGCACGCCATCGACGACGACGCCCAGCGCGCGACGCACGGCACGCGCGTTCTGCTGCGCGTGGTCCGACAGGTCGGCGAAGGCGTGCGGTAACGGCGCGCGGTTGAGCGTCGGCACGGGGATGTCGGCCGCTAGCTCGATGGCGTGCGAGGTTGTGCGCGCGCGCAGGATGCGCGCCCACGAGGTCGCGGGAGGCATGCTCGGGGCTGGCGGCGGAGGAAGGATGCGGATGGGAGAAGCGGATCAACCAAGGGATTTGTTTATCGAAGGTTGTCCTTGCTGTGCTCATGGGGCGAGCGCTTGTGCACGTGGACACGTGTGTGCTAAGCGAGTGATTTACGTCGACGTGTCCACGTGGCAATGGATGTGTTGTGGTGCAGCTTGCATGCACATGCCAATCTCTCCGGCCTCCCTTCCACTTCAATTCGACCCACAAAAAGCCTTTTCTGGAGAGAGGCTTGTCATTTCTTGTGTCAACCTGTACGTGTACCTCCCTCGCTAACACCCTGCCTCGTCTCCATCGCGAGGCTCCAAATGTCCACCTCAATTCTCAACATCGCACGCAGCATCGCGGCCCGCGCCACGGCCGCGGGCCGCGTGCGGACGCTACCGGCCGGTCCATCCGTGCGGCTACGCCGCCTATGCACGTCGTCGCCCACGCCCTCCCAACATCGCACGCCTCCCTCATCGTCCGCCCCTCCGCCCCCGCGCGAAGGCCCAACCGCCTCGCCGGGCTCCTCGTCGCAAAAGCCGTCGCCGAAGCGCTCGCGCTACGAGGGCTACTACGTGCAGCGCGCGGGCGACGGCGCATCCTCGGGGGCCAAGCCGGGCGGGGCGGGCGGCGGCCCGGGCAAGAACGCAGGTCCGGCCGGGTGGGAGAAGCTGCTGCCGTACGTGTTCGGCGCGGGCGTGCTGGCGAGCTACGGCCTGTTCGCGCGCCGCGGCGCCAACGAGACGTCGCCCACGGCGTCCGGCTCGGACGCCCCCGCGTCGCAGGCCGCGCCCGCGGACGGCCGCGAGGTCAGCTGGAAGGCGTTCCGGAGCGAGGCCCTCGCGGCGAGGAAGGTGTCCAAGATCGAGGTGGTTAACGGACAGGTCGCTAACGTTTACTTCAAGGACGACTTGTTCAGGCCCAAGATGCGGTTTAATATTGGGTCGGTGGATACGCTGGAGAGGAAGCTAGAGCAGGCGCAGGATGATTTGGGTATCGAGCCGCATGAGTACGTCCCGGTCGTGTACTCGGACGATGCCGCGTTTTCGAGGATGCTGCTCGACTGGATTCCCACGCTGGGCTTTGTGGCCGTGTATGCGCTGCTGGCGAGGAGGATGAGCGGGGGCGTTGGCGGAGGAGCCCAAAGGGGGAGTGGAGGCGGGAAATCCCCGTTTTCCGGCGGCTTTGGCGGGATGAGGCCGGGGTCGGGGCCCTTCGGAGGGGCAGGCGGAGGGGGTGGGCCAGCGGGCGGGATTTTCAATGTCGGTAAGGCCAATGCTACAGTTCTCAACTCGGAGAACAATAAGGTCGACATCACCTTTGCCGATGTCGCTGGGCTTAACGAGGCCAAGGAAGAGATCATGGAGTTTGTGCAGTACTTGAAAAAGCCGGACAAGTACAAGGAGCTTGGCGCAAAGATCCCCAAAGGGGCCCTCATGTATGGACCACCGGGGACGGGTAAGACGCTGCTGGCAAAGGCGACAGCGGGGGAGGCCGGGGTGCCGTTTCTGACGATGTCAGGGTCGGATTTCATGGAGATGTTTGTAGGTGTTGGGCCTAGTCGCGTGCGCGATTTGTTTGCACAGGCAAGGTCGATGACGCCGTGCATCATCTTTTTGGATGAGATCGACGCTATCGGAAGGAAGAGGGGGCGCGGAGGGTTTGCAGGAGGTAATGATGAGAGGGAGAATACTCTCAACCAGTTGCTTGTTGAAATGGATGGGTTTGCGAGCAACAGCGGCGTCGTGGTCCTGGCAGGAACAAACAGAGCGGACGTGCTTGATCCGGCCCTGCTGCGTCCGGGGCGGTTTGACAGGCAGATCGTCATAGACCCTCCCGACATATCTGGACGTCGCGATATCTTTAACGTTCACTTGCGCAAGATTCAGGTTGCTGATCCGCCGGGCAAGGACGAAATTGCGAAGCAGATGTCTACTCGTACTCCTGGCTTTGCAGGGGCTGACATCGCGAATGTTTGCAATGAGGCTGCCCTCATTGCTGCGAGAAGCAACAAGGAAGCAGTTGAAGCTGAGGATTTCGAGGCATCGATTGATCGCGTTATCGGGGGACTGGAAAAGAAGAACATGGTCATGAGCCCAGAAGAGAAGAAGACAGTTGCGTACCACGAGGCCGGCCATGCCGTCGCCGGGTGGTTTCTGGAGCATGCCATGCCGCTGCTAAAAGTTAGCATCATCCCGCGCGGGAGCGCAGCGCTTGGGTACGCGCAGTATCAACCTTTGGAGCGATACTTGGTGTCGAAGGAGGCGCTGATCGACCAAATGTGCATGACGCTTGCTGGGCGCGCTTCGGAGGAGATTTTTTTTGATAGTGTGACGACAGGTGCATCCGACGATTTCAACAAGGTTACTCGCATGGCGTACCAGAGCGTATCCGAATGGGGCTTGGGTGATACAGTCCGTAATCTGGCATTTCCGGGTGCGGGCAGTGGGGACGGCGATGACGGGTTTTACCGGCCTTACTCTGACCGGACAGCGAGACGAATCGATGAGGAAGTTCGAGAAATGGTTTCCGAAGCTTACATTCGCACTAAACAACTCCTTCTTGATAGGAAAGAGGATGTGGAGAAAGTGGCGCTGTTGTTGTTGGAGAGGGAGGCTATTGGGGCTGAAGATATGATTCGCATGCTCGGCAAGCGTCCCTACGGTGCAGATCGAAGTACCTATGATGAGATTCTCGAAGACGCTAAAAAGCTGGATGCGGACGACAACGATGCGAGCAATGTTGGTGAGGCTGGGGTCAGCCCCAGCGCGGCGTAGCTGTTTGCACGGTTGCGCAGCTTGACACACTAAAGACGATCGTATCTGCCGAGGAAAACGGGTATTTGTGAAGGAGCCTGTTGATGTACCGTAAAGTAAAAACTTTAATAACTTTAATAACTTAAGACCATTCGAACCGATGAGTTGCCGTACCTCTTCGGAAACAAAACTGCGCATTCTTACAAGCAAAAAGGGCCATCCCCGCATGCTAAGTCACAGTGCACTTATCCCGCTGCGACACCCCGCCACTCTTCCTCGATGAAGCAAGCCTCCGACCACTCTTACCCTTCCTCAGCGCTGTCAACCACACCTCATCCAAGCCAGCTTCCCCCTCTTCCATCACGACGACGTCGCCATTCTGCAGCACGTCCGGCGGCAGGTCCTTAAGCGGCGTGATATACGGGAGCAAATTGACCCCACTCACGCCTCTCTTAACCGCGTACAAGCCATACCGAATACCCTCTGCCGGCGCGGGAATCGCTTTAACGTCACGTGTCAAAATGTCCACGACGCGCCCCGCCGAGTGCCGCCTGCTAAAGTAGACATACCGCGGCGGCAGCCCCGCCTTGCGCGGAAAGAAGAGCGCGACGTGCACGCGGTCCTCCACCTCAACCTTCGGATCGCCAACCGGGGTGGCGGGCGTATTCGAAAAGTCGGTGCGGATAGTTGTGCTGCCCTGCGCGCCAGCCGAGCTTGTCCTTTGCGGGGCTGGTGCCGGGGCGGGCTGGGCCTTGCGGAAGAATCGGGACGGCGACTTCCTCGCGGACGACGCGCGGGCCGCGGCCGCACGTCCCGGTGCGCGCGCGAGCGGGATGCCGAACGGGTTGACTCCCGGCTGCGCGGGGCGCTGGGCGGCGCACGCGTGGTCGGCCTCGTGGCGGTGGGCGAGGCAGAAGGCGCGGCGGCAGGCGGGGCACGTGGTGGCGACGGCGTCGCGCACGCGGCAGTCGCCGAAGGCGCAGGGCGGGTTCGTGCGCACGGGCTTGGGGCAGCCCAGAGAGATGTGACGCGAGACGGCAGCATCCGGCGTGGAGCCGGCGGGCACGGGGACGGGTTGGGAGCACGCCGGGCAGGTGGGGACCGAGCGTACAGGCTCTGTGCATCGGTGCGATGCGGGTAGGTGGTGGTCGTTGCAGAAGGTCCGCGAGCAGGACGGACATGTGATCGGCAGGAAGTCTAGGTGCCGGCAGGACTGCAGGGCACAGCGAGCGCCGAGGCCTTCGATCTCCATGGTGGGGGGGGGGGGGGGGGGGGACAGTCCTTATTCCGGGAGGGGAGGGGATTGGGGGAGGGGATGGGGGAGGGCTTATGTGGTGGTGGGAACTGGAAAAGTGGAGGGTTATTGAGGTGAGGACGGTGACGTTGAGAAGAATCTGGAACTGCCAGAGGAACCGTTGCAACCCTTGGTGAGTGACGCAGCGTATTGTTGTTGGATGGTGCCACGGACACATTGCTGGCGGAGAAACCTCACCTTCTGTCAGCGCTGTAAGATCGCGCTCACCGAACACTGAGGAGCACAAAAGAACACGTGTCCACTTTGCCACTATGCCACGTGTTAATGCTGCAGTACAATCTGTCACGGCGCGGCAGGAACCTGGGCCCCAGATCCGATCTCCTCCCATCCTAACCAGAAACTTCCTTGGTTAACGCCTCTGCCAACTCAACCCCTTCGCCAACGCAACTCCCCCCAACTTTGCGTCACCTTTGCATCACCTTCCGCTCCTACTGCCGCGCCATGGAGCCCGCCTTCGCCCCCTCGCTCGCGCTAGCCACGCGTACGGCGCGTCTAGCGCTGCGTCCGCTGCTCACGCGGCCGCGCCCGCGCCGCTTGCCGCGCCCGCGTCCGCCGCGCCGCGTCGCATGCACGACGGCCCACCCGGCGCCGCGAGTGTCGGCGCTGCCGGCCACTTCCCCGCAGGGGAAGTGGATGACGTCGAACGAGATACGGAACGCCTTCCTGTCGTTCTACGCGGCCCGCGCGCACTCCGTCGTCCCCAGCGCGTCCCTCGTCCCGGACGACCCTACAATTATGCTCACCATTGCGGGAATGGTCCCTTTCAAGCCCGTCTTCATGGGAGCTGTGTCGCGTCCGGACGTCCCGCGTGCGACCAGTAGTCAGAAGTGTATAAGGACGAATGATATCGAGAATGTCGGCGTTACGAAGAGGCACCACACGTTCTTTGAGATGCTCGGCAACTTCTCGTTTGGGGACTACTTCAAGAAGGACGCTATTCGATGGGCATGGCAGTTGCTCACGGAGGTCTATGAGATTCCGCCTGACCGCCTCGCTGTTAGCGTGTACGAGCGGGACGACGAGGCGCTTGCGATATGGAGGGACGACGTCGGCGTCCCAGAGGCCCGCATCCAACGTCTGGGGGATGAGGACAATTTTTGGGCCTCAGGTCCCACAGGGCCGTGCGGGCCGTGCTCGGAGATTTACTTTGACTTTGAGCCGGCGTCGGACGCTCCCGTCGATCTGCAGGACGATGTCCGTTTTATCGAGCTGTACAACCTCGTCTTCATGCAGTACTCGAGAGACGTCGGGGGGAACCTAACCCCCCTGGCCGCGAAGAACATCGACACGGGCATGGGGCTGGAGCGCATGGCCCAGGTGCTGCAGCGCGTGGATAACAACTACGAGACCGATTTGATCCTGCCCATCATGCAGACCGTGGCCGCCCTGGTGGACACCACGTTTGAAACCGCCGCCGAGAAGGAGAAGACCTCGCTCAAGGTTGTGGGCGATCATCTGCGCGCCGTCTCGCATCTCATCGCGGACGGCGTACGCCCGAGCAACATCGGCCGAGGCTACATCGTGCGCCGCTTGATTCGCCGGGTCGTGCGCCACGCGAGGTTACTCGGCATCGAGGGCCCTTTCACGACCGACGTGCTGCCGGTCGTGGCCGAGCTGGCGCGCGACGCGGGGCTCCCCGGCGTGCACGACAAACTGGCCGAGGTCACCACGGAAATCGAGCGCGAGGAGGTCCGCTTTCTAGCCACGCTCGAGCGCGGGGAGGACTGTCTGGCGGACGTGTTGGCTGACATGAAGGCCGCGAAGAAGGAGGTCGTCTCGGGGGAGGATGCCTTCGAGTTGTATGATACCTTCGGCTTCCCGCTCGAGCTTACCGAGGAGATTGCGGCGGAGAACGGCTTCACGGTCGACACGGACGCGTTTGAGGTGTGCATGACAAAGCAGCGGAATCGCGCCCGCGCGGCGAGGGAGAGCGGCTCTTTCAACGTCGGCTCGAATGCCCTGCTTGCGGCAGCGGCCGCGGCGGCGGGCCCGACGAGCTTTGAGGGGTATAGCACCACGAGTCTGGACGGCTCCACGGTCACGGCTTTAGTGGTTGAAGGCGCGGATGGAAACGCGGACGAGGCGCGCCAAGGAGACCGGGTGAGTGTTTTGTTGCGGCAATCTCCGTTTTACGCCGAGGGCGGAGGACAGGTTGGCGATACGGGGATTTTGAGGGCGCCAGGTGGTGTCGTAAGGGTTTCTGATACTAGAAGGGAAGGTGGAGCTTACGTTCACGTCGGGGAGGTTGTTGACGGTCTCGTTAGCGTCGGTGATGTTGTCCATGCGTCTGTGGACGCGACTGGTCGGCGACGTATCATGGCACATCATACCGCAACTCATTTACTTCAAGCGGCGCTCAAGCAAGTCATTCCAGACGGCGGGATCTCGCAGGCGGGTTCGCTTGTTGATGTCGATCGCCTACGGTTTGATTTCAATTGCCCTCGCGCCGTGACGCAGGACGAGCTTCAGAATGTTGAGAATATAATTAATGGGTGGATTGCGGATGCTCATGACACTGAAGTTGCCGTTATGAGCCTGGACGAAGCGAAGAAGGCAGGTGCAGTGGCAATGTTCGGTGAAAAGTATGACGCTACCAAAGTGCGGGTAGTCGATATTCCAGGAGTGAGCATGGAGTTGTGTGGTGGAACACATGTGCAAAACACAGCAGACATTGGACTTTTCAAGATTGTAAGTGAAGCAGGGCCGAGTTCTGGAGTGAGACGGATCGAGGCCATTTGCGGCGCTGCCGTGATGCCATATCTGACAGTGCGAGATGCAGCCGTTCGGCAATTGAGTACCTCTCTCAAGGCACGCCCAGAAGAGCTTGCTGCAAGGGTGTCCACCCTTCAAGAAGACTTGAGAGCAAGAAGTAAGGAATTGGAAGTTGCGCGGGCTGAATTGGCTGTGGCTAAAGCAATGAGCCTCGTCAACGAGGCCGAATCAGTGGGTAACAACTCGTTTATTGTTGCCCAATTGGAAGGAACCGTTTCTTCTGACAGTTTGAAGGCGGCTGTGGAGAGTTTGGGGAACTCGCTTGGCGAAACGGGCGTCGTTATGCTTGCCTGTGAAAACTCTGGAAAGGTTTCCTTTGCGGCGAGTGTTGGAAAACAGGCTCAGAAGCAAGGCATTCTGGCCGGGAAACTGGTCGGGAGCGTGGCAAAATTATGTGGAGGGGGAGGAGGAGGTCGTCCCAACTTTGCTCAAGCGGGTGGGCGAGATGCGACAAAACTTAGTGCAGCACTTGACATGGGAGCAGAGTTGATACGAGAGTCCTTTTCTTCGTGAGTGTTTTTGGATTAACCTCGGGTTAGGGACCGCACTCATTACTTCGGGGAGCTTACTTGGGTTCCTGCTCCCCGGGTTGTCAGTGCATTTCCTTGCCTTAGCTTGATGCGGTGTAAGACAGCTCTGGGCATCAGATGTTCGAAACCCGCTCCTTGACTGCAGAAGGCCAGGGGGCCCTTAAAACATGAACAGACTGTAGAAAGACTATATTTATTCTGACCAAAAGTTAGTTGGCGCCCGCAGCCGTGCTATCCGGTTCAACGTTCCCCGTTTTCGCGGGTATACGTGCATCCCCATGCTTGGCATGGAATTCCTTTGCCCAGCGGTCCACCTCTGCTTGCTTTAAAGTTGGGTTCTTCCCGAGCGGCTTTTGCTTCTTCTTTTCCCGTGAAAAGTCCCCAAACATCGTAAAGAAATTCCACCACCTATCGCTCCATGGCTTCAGTTCATTCTTCCACAACGCCTCGACCATTGCCTTCGGCATCTCACGCATGTACTGCTGTTCGAAACGACCTTGCGCGTGCATGTTCGAAGGTGGCGTCGGGTAGTACTTCACAAATCCTTTCCGGATCGTTGACAACTCGTCAGAAGTCATTCTAGTCCAAAGATGCTCCGGATACCGAGTTGCTTTCTTCTTCTTGACCGGAAGCGCTTCGACGACAATGCTCATGGTCTGGCTCCCACCCTGGGACGGACTGCATGCATCCCCATCTGTCTCTTCCTCATCCTCACTAGGAGTCCTCGTTCGATCTCTTTGCAATTCAACTTCATTGGCCGTATTGGCGCGAATGGCCCCCTTACGAGGAGAGGCTCTCGACTGGGATAGAGACACCTTTCGCGCACCTGTTGCTTTCCTGGGGCTCAGACCAACTGTTTTCTTTCGCTTCACCTCCGGTTTGCGCGTTCTATCCGCAGCTCGTAAACCTTTTTGTGGGGCTGTCTTCTGGCACGGAAAGAAGTCATCGTCAGAGTTCTCACTTTCAGAGTCGTAATCCCATTTTTTCTTGGGCACACCAACATCCTCGTCAAATACTGAGCGCTGCCGTGTCAGGGATTGTCTCTTTGGTCTTTCGTCGACTCTCTTCACTCTGCTACCCGTTTCTCTGCGGTCGATCTCGTCGAAGACTGAAGCGCCTCTGGCCTGCAATACCTCATCTTCATCATCATCGGAAAACAAGTTGGGAACCTTGGACTTTTCCCGCGTGTTTCCGTCTATGTCAGCGAATACGGATTCCTGGCTCGCCACAACCGCCCTCCTCTTCTTTTTTGTCCCAACACTCACTTCATCCTTCCCTCTTCCCGTCGGCCTCCCCCTTCGTTTCGGTGCCCTTTCTGCGGGACCGCTGTCTTTGACTGTAGACGCAACTGCCTCGGAAGCCTGACGACCCTTCGCACTACGAGACTGCTTCTTGCGGGTACGAGACGCCTCCCGTTCTCCATCGGGACTATCGAGGCGCAGTTTCCCGACAGCCTTTGGTCCTCCCCTTCCCGTTTTTGAGACAAGAGCCAACGCGGCTTCCGACTGCCGCAACAAGATTCCAGGGGCATCACGCGCGCCCATGGGAATATCATCAGGAATAGATGCGGTGTCATCAGGGCTGGCTTCGGACGGTTCGCGGTCGACAGTAACAGGTTTTTGCTCTGTCGTGTTAAGAGGCACGCCAGAACGCAGGGTGGGATTAAATACCTTCCGCAAAGCTTTGAGCCTTGGCGACCGGCGGGAACAAGGCGTGGCATGCTGCACGTTCGCAGCTGCCAGCCCCTTTCCCTGTACTACATGTCGTGCAGAGAGAGCCACGTCGGTTGAGGCTCTCCTCGGCATTGGTATTGGTATCGATGCAGCGTTCCTTGACGGTAGTGCAAGCCCGTTTCGAAGGGCGCTCTCCGTGCTTTGTCTGGAATCAAGTACATCGCCAAGGGCCAGTGAGCTGCTCGAAGGCATGGTCCCTTCCGCCCCAACCAGCCGTTTCATCGATATTTCACTGCCCGAAAACTGACCATCTCCAACCGCACGGAAACCAATCATATCACTCTGCAAATGTTGTGGCATGTGCAACTCTGTCAAAATGCATCCCGTCGCCCTCCTCTCAAAAGCACGGTCCAGCCCAGCGGCGCGAGGGCTTTCGCCTTCGATCGTATGCACGCTCTCCATGGTTGCCCTGTGCACCAAGTCCACGCCTACCTCAGCCTCTCCCCGCCCCTCCAGCGCCATCGCACCCGACCCCACAATCCCCACTGACGCCGACCGCTCGTCCCGCCTCCCCGGCGCCGCCGCTGCCGTTGGCGCCGAGTAACGACCAGTCCCGCTCGTTTCCGGCACCGCCTGGTTGCCGTAGCTCAGCGGACCGTCGCTCACCACCGCTAGCTCCGCGCCTTGCCCCCGTGCCGCGTGTGCAGACATGCCCGACAGACCGTGCCGCGCAGAGACAACGGAGGGGTGCACGGGCGGCACCGGGAAAATGGCTGCCGCAGATGTGGAGGGTTCGGCAACTGGGAGTTGCGTGTGCGTGTACGCTTCTGGTGCATATACAAAGTCGTCGGTGCTCGCTCCATAGTTATAGCCGCCCCAATGCTGTGCGGGATACCCCTGCGACGCGTACGTATAATCGTAGGCGGATCCCGCCGTGGGCGGCGTGCTTGCGTATGGCATACCCGCAGCGGGTGCGTAGTTGTGGCCGCCTTGTGCAGGATGCAAAGCAATGTAATGTGGATGATAGTCTGATTGGGGATTGGGATACATGTACCCGTGCATAGAGGCGGCATGCGAGGGCGAGGGCGCATAGGCGCCCGCGTGGAGGTGCTCATCGGCGTGATACTGGCGCAGCGCGCCAGACCAGAACGGGTGCGGATGCGACGACGGGTGCGTCGGCGGGCAAGCCGAGTTTTGCGCGGTGTATGCGTGGGCGGGCGGGTCGGGAGGGATCCGGGTAGGGGTGAAATCGGGCGCGGCCGGGCCGGGCGGCGGGTCGTTTAGTAGCCCAATGGCGGCGGATAGGCCTGCGGGTGGGCTCGGGAGTGAGGCCGCGAACGGATCGGGCCCCACGGGGTCGGCCATGGGGAGGATGTGCGCGGATGCGCAGCGGGTGTGGGAAGGGTGACGAGTGGCAGGGGGAGGAAGGTGCGACGGACGGGACGGGGATGTGAGAGGGTGACGGTGGGTTACAATCGTGCGATGGGAGGTTTTGTTTCAGGGGCATTCAACGTTCTGATTGCATGCGTTTCAGCGAGGCAGATTTCCCGCCAAAACGGTCCGGTCGTTGAAAAAGGATTTCACGTTCACCTTGACATCTGCAAAGTCCACCGTTGGTTGCAACCCTCTCCGCACGAACCGCGGCAGCTTCTCCCGCACCCGCTCCCGAGTAAACCGCTTATCCATCAAGAGCACAGCTGCAAAGTCCGCCCGATGCCGCACCACGCGTCCGACACACTGATTCACAACCGTCATGCACTCATTTTCCAGAAACTCCACCCGCCGCTCGCTCCCCATCATCCCCATCCTCTCCTTCACTTCAACCCTTCTCGCGTCGCCGAACGGCATGCCCACCACTACTACCGCCCTTCCCAGCTCGTCTGCAAAGTTAATCCCCTCGCTCAACCTTCCGCCCATCACGGCTGCCAGCACGGCCCCTCTTCCCGCGTCCGCCCGTATTGTACCCCGGTACTCATCGAATGCCCCGCTTTCCCCCCGCGCCTCCGAGAAAAACGGCTTTTTTGCTCGCAACCGCCCGAGCATCCCACTCCGTTCCCACGCCATCCTTGCCTGCCGAAGCGTTTCGTAAGATGCGAAGAACACCACAACTCCCCCCGGTATCTCTCCTAGCAACGTCTCTAGCGCACGGCCCAACTCGTCGAAAGGCGCAGACGTCTGCCGCGTTTTGTGCGTGAACTCGAGAACCGCCCCCGTGGGACCTGTTGCGCAGATCCGCGTCAGCACGTGGTCGGCGGGGACCACGTGCTCACACTCCAGCTCCGTAGTTCGTCGATGCAATAACTGCGAGAGCAGTGCATCCTTGATGGCGCTGCGTGGGCTTAACGTCCCGCCGAGTAGTAGAATAGCACGTGCTCTGCCGACGTTCGCGGAAAATAAGTCACCCGGCTCCGTGACAAAGTACTTGAAACGCGCGACCGCGTCCAGCCCGAGCTGGCTTTCTTCGAAACTTGAGCCAGAGAGTGTCCCAGCTTCTCGCGCATCTCTTCTGTACGGATAGAGAGCGACTCGCCCGTAGCTTGGGCAATCAGCTACATTCTGGATGAAGTTTTGGAACGAGGAAATGCTTTGCTTTGCCCGACGCTGCTCCGTCACTGCAACGTCGGCCTCCTGAGATCCACTCTTCCCATCGAATTTAACCCCAAATTCTTCCCCGCTATCAACAAAACCGTGCAGCTTCTTAGCGAGATTCGACTCCTCCATGTACGCCACCAGGACAAAGAGATTGATATTGTCAACGCCTGCATCGAAAAGCAACGCAGCCGGATGCACAACCTTAGGCGCCGGCAACTTGTCTTTCCCTTTCTCATCTCTTCTCCCAGGCAACATTCCCAAGAGCCCCTCTCCCAACGCCACGAGCTGTCGCAAGTTGAACAGATTCCTCGCAGAAAACCTTTTCTCGTACCGGTGAACATACGCCTTCACAGCAGCGATAGTCTGCACCAACCTACCCCGGGTTAACACGCTCGAATGCAAATCGCACACGGTATTGACAATGTTATGCGCCTCGTCAAACACGACAACAGTATTGTCATCAACCTCAATCCCCAAACTCTCCCTCGTCTTCGCGTGAAGCACCGCAGAGTACGGAACGGCAATCACATCAACGTCGCCCGTCTCGAGCGCGGCCCTCGTGGCAAAATACGGACACGCACCTAAACTCTTGCCCGCCTTTCCGAGCTCCTCGATGGATTGCATGTGCACCAATGCGCGGTCCCGTAGCACGGCCTCCGCCTCTGCGTTCTTGTACTCACAGCGATTGCGGCTCCGCTTCCGCCTGCCCGCGGTTGTCTCTGACGGAGCTTCCGTCAGCTCGCGACAGCGCTCCGATATAGCTGCCGAAGACTCCAGCGCTCGTACTTCCTCATTAATGCAGAACTGCTTCCGCGAACCAAACGGCATCACGCTCAACGGTAGCTCAAAATCGCCCTCGATCTGCTCCTTGGTCAGCGTTGGCAGGCTCAAGCTGATCCCATTTCCCTGCGCCCCCAGCACCGCAGGCGGACAAAACGTTGTTTTCCGAAGCTCTTCCAAAAATTGGGTCAGCTGGGTATGTGTCCTCGTAGCGAACACAATACGGGCCGCCTTGACCTTGCGGTGTACCCTCGGCACATCCATCTCCTCCCCTTCGTCATCTGAGAAGAGCGGGTCGTCCTCCCCATAAACGCATCGCCTTCCCTTTCTCAAGTTAGTCCCGCGCGGTCTCTCGGTGGCCCGTTTCACGCGCTGGCGGTACGCGTCCTTCCGACGATGCAGTTCCTCTTGAACGTCCCGTCCTTCGCGAGCCTTACTCTGCTCGGTGATCCAAGACGGCTCGTCTGTTGAGTTGGCAGCCTCTTCCGAAACAGGGAGACGGTTCTGTTGTAACCAGGTTAGCGAGGCGCAGATGATGGAAAGGGTCTTGCCGGTGCCTGTGGGCGACTCGAGCAGGGCAATGTGGCGATCTGTGATAGCGGAATGGATGGCCGTCATCAGCTCAGTTTGGACCGAGTAAGGCGTGCCGGGAAAGCTGAATTTTGGAGAAGCCATTCTGCTAGGATCTTAAGCCTAGGTGCGGAGACGGATTCACACATTCCACGGAGAAATGAAAAGGGGGACGAGGGTGAAGGATAGGGGGTAGGGAGAGCGAAGCAACTGGCAGAGTCGAAGAGAAACAGGTGACGGATGCATCGGGGTTCTTGTTCTTGGGCGTTTCCCGCTAAAAAGTGTTGACATAGCCAGCAGGGCGAGATTTCGAATCATCCAATTATGTCATGTTTTTGCAGGTCATGTCTCTACACGTGAATTGCAAGGGTACAGGTCAAAAATGTATAAATTAAATTGAACATTTAAAAGCTATCTTGGCAACTATTTCCTTAACGTACTTGTTCTCGGAAATAACATCTTGCAGGAGACCGGGATAGCAGCCTTGAATGCGCAGAAAGATTAAAACGTACTCCCTAAAATGTATTGCAGATTGAGTGCCTAGCTGCCCTTTTAAATTGGCGTTTTGCTTTCGAAGTTGTTTTACATGCAGTTTAAAGGTGGTTTAAAAAAGCTTCTTTTCCAGACATATCTAAAAACGACCAGGAAGAACATGCAATTCTCATAAAGCTCTTTCTGGTCGCAAGGTAAAATTCAATTAAGGTGGCGGAGATATATTTTTCCTTCTTATCGAGAAAGCGCAAGTCAAGAAAAAAAATAAATCGAACAGTGTCCTCATATGAGGACAACGGTCCGAGACACACCAGTGTCCTAAAGACAACTCTTTAAAGTAGACATGTAAATGGACGTCGCAACCACTCTTCAACACATCTTTCCCTATTCTCTAATCAACAATATTGCTAAACGCTTGATGAAAAAGGCTTCACATTCCATTCCTTTAATGAATTCCGAATCAACAGAAACATCATCTACTCTCCAGTCCATCCGCACTAGTCTGCCCGACATACACCAGGATGTTTCTTGAAACAAAAATACATGTGCATGGAATCCTCAATTCATCTTAAATGTTAGTGAAATGTCGAAATGTCTAAGAGGCCTTATAATGTCATCAGAGTTAGTCCATGAGCGCCATTTCTATCCAAAAAGGAATAGCACTACTGGACATCACTTCACCGATAGAAAGAACATTCCCTCAACCTCTATATAATCAGTGCTTCCTGAACCCTTGTCAGATGCTTCCAACCCGATTCCCTTCATCTCCCGCTTAGACTCCTCGTGCAGAACGAGATTTCATGCCCGCCGCTGCCTGTACTCTTAGACATCAACGTACCACTCACCCTCGCCCTCACCTCGATACCCACCACGCTATGGTACGAGGCATACTAATTTCCCTCTTTTGCGTATCTTGGCTCTCTGTGTGCGCTCAAGCCAACAGCGACAAGTACAGAGCTGCCGCACGTTGCATCGCTCTCAACGCGAAATGCACAAAATTCCTCGCCGACAGGAGTATGTACTGCGAACCCAAGACGTACGTCAAGAAACAAAATGAAACGTGTCTAAAGAATGCGTGCTCGTTCTGTGCGTCGGGTGGCTTAACCAAGCTGAGGTCTGTGTGCAATAGTTGGGCCATCCGCCATTGGTGTTTCGGGGACAAGAAAAAGGATACCAGAGGCAGGCCTAGCCCTATGCCTTCGTCAGCTGGGAACACTGTTTCTCCTGCTTCTGCACAGAAGCCCTCATCTCTGGAGCCTAAGATGCAGTCGACAGGCACGGGAAGTAAGGTTATTATTTGCTTGGCAAACAAGAAACCGAAAAGCCCTTGGGTACAGAAGGGATCAGGGCTTATTTGGAGGCCAACCGAAGCCAACAAGAGGGATCCTGAAGGGAGTGGTGAGATGTGCTTCAATTTTAAACCTCCGAAGACAGGGAATTACTACTTATCCGCAGTGACTTCAGCTCCGCATCGCGTCGATAACAATGACATGTGGATTAAGCTCAGTTCCGGGTTGTGGCTCGTCGGCAAGAACATGCAAAAGAAGGATGGGGGTTCAGGGTATCTCAAAGCTTACCAAAATGTTGGGGGCAATGCAAAGGCATATATTATTTCGAACGTGGATCATGACCCGCATCAGTTTTTGACCAACAGCTTGCAGGCAGGCAGCGTACAGACTCTGTGCATGTCGGGTCGAAGCTCTAGGTTCACCGTCTACAAATTCATTCTTGTTCACTGTGCTGGCGCTAAATGCGACCGAAAATCAGACTTCATTAAGGACGCTATGAAGGGAATGACGTCTACGTGTTCAAACTAACTGAAAATGACAATCCATTACAAGGATCAAGCCGTTTGTTGCATTCAAATGAATCTTATCCTTTTAACACGCTTCCAACGTATGCGTTCGAAGCTGCTTCGCTCGAAAACTAGTTTAGACTCCTTAAGCAATACATTTTTGTGAGTTTAGCAAAGAAAATTGCCACATCCCCTCTGCTAGAGAGATACACCTGCGTTCGGAGATCCTTTTCCATTGCGCACTACACAAAAGGCTGACAGCAACTTTGAATCTACCCAGTCTCTTCGCTGCCAAGAAGCGCTGTGCAGGGAGTCATGCTCAGCACCTTACTTTATGCGTCACATCTCAGAAATACCTCTAACCAATTTGAAGTCTGATGGTAATTTCTCAGATGCGTCTGCAAACCCTACAAACCGACACGTTTACCACTCCCAGTCCTTTAACACCCCACTATTTGATATAAGGTTCTAGATTTTTCGCCTTATACATTGCGACGACGCCCTCCAGTTGAGGCTGAAACACACCCAAAAACTCTGCTAGGGCTGGCGTCACGCGGGACGTATCGTCAGACCCTCCCGCGAGGTTCTTATAAAAGCTCTCGCGGCTGGGGGCGAAGCGCAAGCCGGTATCGAAGATACCCTTGGTGATAAAATTGTGGCAGTACTTGAGGCTGGCCGCATACGACTTTCTACTTGCGGTGGACAGAGTCACCTTGGAGTCGTCCACGAGCTGTTGCAGAAGGCCGATCACAAACTGCATTGTGCGCTTTGTCCATAGCAGCGCAACGGTTCCCGATTCTGCGCCGGCTCCGGATTCGGACTTAATCAGCTTTCTCAGCTTGGGGTCCTTGGCCTCTTCGTCAAGCACGTTTTCAAGCGTGCTGGCAGAGTGCTTGATGGCTGCAGTTCGGAGTTTCTGCGTACATATTCGGAGAAATGAATGCCATGTTTAGTCCTGTGCGTCTCTACGCTCACGCATCGGTAAGCGCGGTGGACAGGTGGGGGCAAATGTCTGCCAACGTACTTTGATATTGCCCTCGACGTCTTTCTTGACAACGTCGGAAAAGAAGGGATTGGAAAAGGCGTCAAAGACGCGGAGAAACATGGTCATAGCGTTGACAAAGGGGGTGACCTGCATATGTTGTGGGTTGTCGCCATGCGCAGACGCTCCAGCGGCTTTGAAGGCATCGATGATCTCTGCAAAGAATTGAAAGTCGTGCGAAGTGGCTACGCCTATTGCGGAAGCCATGATGGATAAGGGTTTGGTGCTGGTGCAGCTGTTGCGGGGGAGGGGGAGGGTGATGGTTGGTGGTGGGGGGACGGCGGGAAGAGGGGCGGCGGGAAGAGGAGCGGCGGGAAGAGGAGCGGCGGGAGGAGGGCTGACCTGAGGACTGTGAGGGTAATGGACTCAAAAGATAACCCTTGGTGAGCGCAGGGAGGAGGATGGTGACACGTTTGCTCGCTGCGATGGTTGACAGTGACGATGAGGAACGGAAGTCCAAATTGCAAGAAAATTTTTGGAGACGAGCACCAAGCAATTTGCATTGACAGCAGGTGTGACTTGCTGTTACAGAAATGATGACCTCTTGTGAGATCATCATAAAAGCGAAGACCAACGAATGCCATCGCACTTCTACAGTAATACTGTAAGGGTACAGTACAAGTACTGTACAAGTACTGTAGTGTCTTTAGACACGGGCAAGGCGACCAGCTAACGTTTGCCTCATATGAGGTCCACTTTTGAAAATATTTAAATCGAAAATTTAGAAGTCAGTTTGGACAACATTTCTTCAACGTACACTACTTGTCTTTGGCAGTAACACCTCGCAGATCATCCGGATACTGTAGCAGTTTTGAACGCACTGAAAGACAAACAATCTAAAGGAGCTTAAGGACCAGCTGCCCTTTGAAACGAGCGTTTCTGTTTGAAAGGTATTAATGAAAAACGTTTCAAGCTTGCTGAAAAAGGCTGCTCTGCATGGCATTTCTAAAAACTACCGGAAAGGACATGCAATTTTCACTATCGTGATCCTCTCGCCACGCAAAAGTCATGTACGGGGGCGAAGGTATCGTTCTGTTTCTTACGGAGTTGGCACAAGTTCACACAAGTCAAGTTGAAAACCAGCCTCATATGGGTCATTTGGCCTCGTATGAGGTCGCATGTGATCTAGAGGCTTCATCCTAAGATGCAGCGGCAAAAACAGAGCATCACACTCCACCGGAAGAAGTCTTCCCCGCCTTCCGCAACTGCTCTGCATGAAACTCGACATGCTTGCCAATAAAAGTCTGAATAAAGTAGTACGAATGATCATACCCTTCCGCCATGTTCAGCGTCACCTAGACAAGCACAAAAAAACGTGTCAGCACCACAAATCGCCTCTCTCTCAAGCACTCCTTAGAACAGACGCAAGCTTAACTTACCTTCTGTCCAACCTCAGTACACGCTTCCATAAACCGGTTCGTCATGAGCTGCTTTTCCAAAAACTCGTCAGCCCCGCCCTGCTCTACCAAAATACGACTCACGAGTGGCTCACCTCTCTTCTTCATCAACACACTGGGGTCATAACCCCCCCACGCCTCGCGATTCTCCCCCAGATACTTTGAGTAACACTTTTCTCCCCACGGACAGTTCACAGGATTCGCAATCGGCGAAAACGCCGACACGCTGGTATATAACCCCGGGTTTCTCAATGCAAGGCTGAGGGCGCCCATACCGCCCATTGAGTGCCCCATGATGGCCTTTGCCTCGCCTACCTTGTCCCCAAGCACCTCCTTGACGACAAGCGGAAGCTCGTGGACGACGTATGAAGCCATGCGGTAATGTTTCTTGTACGGCTCCGTCGTGGCGTCTACATAAAAGCCGGCGCCCGTACCAAAGTCCCAGGTGTCGTCCTCTTCGGGCGTGCCCGCCCCCCGCGGAGACGTGTCCGGGCAGATGATGGCGACCGAGTGTTCGTGCGCGTGCGAGGCGGCGGCGGCTTTTATGACAAAGTTCTGGTCGGTGCAGGTGAGGCCTGAGAGCCAGTAGATGGCGGCCGTGGCCGTGGGAGGGAGGATGACGGAGAAGGTGGCGGGGAGGGAGCCCAGGGTAGGTGAGGTGTGGGTGTAGCGGTCGATTTTGCAGGAGAAGCATCGGGTTGTAGAGAGGAGAGATGGGGAGAAGGGAGACATGGTTGTGAGAATGGTGGAGCGGATCGGATGGGGGGGGGAGGGGAAGGGAAGTGTCGCTCGAGTGTGGGAGCTGCAAAAACGGTTTGGGGGCAGAGGAGGGCAATGCGGTCTTTGCCTGTGATCCGACTACCCACGTGTACACGTACCATACGTGTGACAGATATGATCAAACGGATGGCTTACAAACTTACAAAGGAGGGTCATCGAAACTTACACAGAGGGTCTGCTCTTTCGCCCCTCCAGCGTTTGGACAAGTGTACGTGTAGCGTTTTCCAGAAGCGCGACGACCGTCGCCACGTCGTACCGTTGCACCAGATTCGATCTGCAGTTCAATGTGTGATCCCTGCCACCTCCTGTGGTTAATGTATGGTCTCGATCCCCCGTCAGCTCTGAGCTGTCCGTGCACCACCCTATAACCTCCTGCTAAATTTACCTAACTCTCCCTCCCTTGGCCCACCGTAACTTCACCGCCGCGAGCTCTCCTCCACCGCTCCCTTCTGCACCCCTTCACCCCCATCCGCGACTATGGAAGTCGCCTTGGCTTGGCTCTTTGGTCACGTCTCGCACCGCGTCCCCACAGGCCGCGCGCCCTCCTTCACCCACCCTCTCCCCATATTGACCCGCCGCCAGTCGTCCGTCCCTCGCGGCACGCTCGCCTGCCCCCTCCCGCCCCCTTCGCACACCTCCCCTCCCGCCGTAATTGGGCACCAAGTCGACGCCTGGGCGCAGCACTCTGCCCATTTCGTCGTCAACGCCCGCGGCCAGCGAATCTTTGTGCAAAGCTGGCGCCCGTTCCCGGCCAAGCGTCGCCGCTGGTGGCCGTGGGGGAAGCGCGATACACAACCCAAGGGCGTCGTTTACATCGTTCATGGCCTCAATGATCACTCGAACAAGTATGTACGAGTCGCAAGAGCCTGGGTTGACGCCGGCTATGTCGTCGTCGCGCACGACTTTCATGGCCATGGCCGCTCCGACGGCTACCGCGCGTATACGAGCTCCATGCAACATTACGTCGATGACGCAAAGCATGCCATGGCGGATGCCGATCGACGCTTGCCGGGCCGCTTCGCCCGCCTCCCAAAATTTCTGCTGGCACATAGTCTGGGCGGTGCCGTCGCTATCCACTTGGCTAGGGATGCTGAGCCTGGCGCGTTTCGGGGCGTGATGCTGACGGCGCCTGCGGTGAAGGTGTATCCAAAGCCCCTGCTTAAGCTGTTTGCGCCAGTGATCGGGACGCTAGCCCCACTGCTGCCGGTGCAAAAGCTCAAGTTTGACCGTCGGAGGAGGAGGAGGAAAAGGGAGGGGGAGTATGTTTCGCATGAGGACCCGCTGGTCGTCAGGAGCCCGGTAAGGGCGCGCGTTGGGTACGAAGTGCTAAAAAGCTGTGAGAAGATCATGAGCGAGGCAGAGAAGTTCAAAGTGCCTGTGTTTGTGGCGCATTCGAGAGAGGATCGCGTTACGAATGCTCGCGGGACTATTGATTTTCATGATCGCATTGCGAGCTGCGATAAGACAGTTCGATTGTATGATGGGAGGGTGCATGATTTGTTGGCGGAGAAGAGGGATATGGTCATGGCCGACATGGTGTCATGGGCGTCGAGGAGGTTGAGGTGAGAGGGGGGTTGATAGAGATATCGGCATATGCTGGTTTGTGAATAGAGTGACAGTGGTGGCTACATGGTTGTGCAGCGAATCCACTAAGTATCGGCAGATTGGCCTACGGTAGAGAAGTGGAATGTTTCTCTGTAGTTGAGTGTATAGAATTCTTTGTACGGGTGAATAACAATACACCATACTTACTCGTTGCGATGCGTTCTCCCCACCGACGAAGATTAATCCAACTACATCTTCACTGGTTTTGATACCTTGCTGCAGCGTGCAGAATTCAGCGAGGGGCAGCACTCCCACCGATGGTGACTTCCGCGACCGCAGAGTGATCACCGCCAGCTTGCAGATGTGCTTCTAGGACTTGTCGCCGCATTTCTTCCATCTTGTTCGCTGCATCTGGCAAATGGTCGTCACTGCCATTTCCCTTTCCCCTCGCAGCCCTTAACCCATAGGCAATCATCCCCGTAACCGCGATTCCTGTGCTTGCCAGACCGAGAAGGATGTATCCAATGGTCCTACTTCGCTTGGCCTCCTCTTTCGCCTCAATGCTCGTTACTGTCACATTCGGATTGCGAGCGGGTGGTGCACTTGGCAGGCTTAAGTTTAGTGCGCGGGATCCAAATGAACCTACTAGAGCATTTGAGAGTAGTTCAACACCCCCGTCCCATGTTCCTGTGTAAACTGCACCCTTTTCCAGATCAAAAGCGATGTCTGTGATTTCCTCTTTATCGAAAGCAATAGTCGTGCTCCGATGCCATCGCTGGGCCACCTCCCCATTGTCCATGCGTAGCATGATTAGTGGAGATATGACGACGCTAGAGTTCTCATTTGGTAAATATCCATCCTCCACTCCGGCCACGTACACAACGTCGTTGGCCTCGTCCGCGACAATGCACGGAGTCTGCGTCGGCATCTTCACATTTGAGGCGACAGAACCAATGCGCTGTGTCCACATAGAGCTGCTCTTAGCATCGTCATTTTTCAAGCTGTATTTCAAGGCATGATACTCGGTTTTGTTCGTGTCTAGGTTCGTTGTGCCAACGAAGAAAACATCTCCAGACATATTGACCGCAGCCATACCTGTTGCTCGAAAGCTTCCTTCATCCAAAGACTTGATCATGTGCAGCTTGCGATCCAGTAAAGTATCTAAACTCAGTTCACGAAGGTAAGTGACGGTACGGTATCTCTTACGAACGTCTTCCCATTCTGTCGTCATTAACAACACATGATTGTTACCTATCGCGATAGCATCACCAGATGAATTACCAGAAGACGCAGTTTGTCGCCCTTGGATGAGCTGAAGTCCGAGCGTTTCGTTATTTTGGATTTCGGAAAATGATGCTAGAAAGTGATGGGTTGTCGTGTTCCGGGGTTGAATGCTACCAAATAGTATTCCCATCGTTGAGCCGGTCACATAAATCTTCATGGAATTTCGGTCAACCGACAACGCATTGCAACTATCATTTCGGTTTGACCCGAACTGGAAAGGATGTCTCCAAGCTTTAGCCCCATCTACGGTAAACTTCATGACAAACGCATCTGAAGACCCTCTGGGATCCATTGCCAAGTTCCCCGTCGTTGCACCACAAAGGTAGAGGGCCTCGCCAGCCATCACAAGATCGTTTACGACGTCTTCTCCTGCCGAACCAGTTCTTTTCACCCAAGCCAGTTCGGTAGAAGCAGTAAACTTTGCTAAAAAGATATCCGTATTACCCAAGACATCACCTGCTTCAGGATCTCCCCAGGCCTGCCCGCCAGGCCTGCTTGGTGTCGAAACTCCGGCCACGTACATGGAGCCATCTGCTCCAACTACTATCTGCTTCGCAACGTCATTGGAATCAGGAGACCCGAAAACCTTCCCTCTCAAAGCCTGGGTGATAAGCACTGCGGTGGCTCCAGCTGTTAGCCAATTGGCAAATAAGCTCAGGGTGTAGAATGCCACAATTCGCCGCAAAGATCTCATGCCTCGACCTCAAGATGGCCTTCTTGAATGGTAGTAGACGCCTCGACTGTTTTGAAGTGGATAACCTCGCTACAAGCGTCGCGATGGACGAGAGAAAACGCTAATCAAAACATCTTGAGAAATCTAGCATTCTCTGACCACGACTGGACGGAAATATTCATGGGAAAGAAAAGGGAGCGAACCCAAGCACAGAAACGAGTATACAATAGTAGCACCACTTCGAATTAGATGATACAAATTGATGCATCTCAAATATTGTGCTCTATTGCCGGTCGAATTGAGATAATGTTGCCAGTGCCGGCGAGCAAGGGCGGGGGTGTCTCTCCTCATCTTGAGTTACGCCCAATAGGATAGAATCCTCATCGCATCACGGAGGTCTGTGGCGAAGAAACAATCTCCTGTTTTCGGGAAGGCAATTAGAGGGACTTGAATAATTTGGAGATAACTGCTTACCAAAAACCAGTTATACTTTTCGTATTCCATGCTTTTGCTCAGATCGATCAGGTGCTCTTATGACTATGTTCGTATTCATTCTTTAGCCTTCACAGCATGCCCGACTTGAGCCTCTGACTGGTTCTTCACTCGCCCTGGACGCGACTTGCGATTGACGTCAGCGGCGGTGCCATTGTTAAGGCTGTCGGTGAGCACGCATGCCTTGCACAGTCTCTGACTTGTAATGTATCCGCATCTCTCGCACGTCTTCTGCACGGGCATAGCAGTATCCTTACTTCCCGGCGGCGGAAACGTCAATTGCTCTGCTGATCGGATGACATCCAAAATCGCCGAGGGTCTGACTGCCTCCAAGTCCTTCAAAAACTGTCTCGCGTAGCCGCGGTAGGCGTTGGGCGAGTATATGCACTCTGTGGCGAAATAATGCAGCTTCTTGAAGTAAGCATACATGACAATCTCTTTCTCGTACGTGTACTTGAATGGCTTAACGCGCGGCAGAGCACTGTCTCGGCCGGTGACGGCGTCCACGCATCGTGACAGACGCGGGAAATCGCCGCGCAGAAAGTTAAGCAGGACGGTCTCGGCCATGTCGTCGGCGTTGTGCCCAGTGGCGACCTTGTCCGCCTTGAGTTGGACGGCGCCTCGGTCCAAAGCCTGTCTCCGAAAGACGCCACAGAAGGTGCAATTAGACTTCTTGCCTATGACGCTAACAATCTCGTCCATGGTCCATCCGTACAGCGTGCGGTAATCAACGACGAGAAGCGGGAGATCGTACTCCACCTTGTTCTTGTGCACAGCCTCTAAGCTGTCGTCGCGGTAGCCAGTGATGCCCTCGTCTACACTGAGCAGAAACAAGTCGAGGCCATAGTCATGACGCTTGTTGAGCAGCGAGAGGACGTATGCTAGGACAGTAGAATCCTTTCCACCAGAGGCGCCAATGGCGACGCGGTCGCCCCGGTTGAAGAGTGAGTGTGAGGTGATGGTGTCGTGGATTTCGGTCTCAAATTGTTGGTAGAAGCATTCTTTGCAGACGGCAGCACCCGTCTTGGGACGCTTGACGGATGCGCGTTGCGTACCACAGGCGCTGCAGTTGCGCACCATGGCCGTTGACAATGTGGTATGTGAAGATGACCCGTCTCTCTAGGCGTGGCAGAACATCAAGGCGAGCAGGGAAGGAAGTTTTTGAAATGAATTGATCCTCAACGGGCGCCCTCGAGGAAGATGTGTGCTGTGGAGCACGAAAAGAATAAGAGATAATGTTGAAGCCAGCAACGCAAGCACTCTTCGCATCGCTGGTGCCAAGTTCCGGACCGGATTTGGAACGCGAAATGCCAGGATCCGTTTCGGCCGATTGGATCAGGTGCATAGCTTACAGTTACATTCGGACCGACAATTGGTCAAAAGCATGATTTCTGTAATGAAATGTTAGGATTTCGCCGGCGTCCCAGCGACGGGCTGGCAACGCTGCGGGCAATGCTCTTTGTGCAGTCGCACGCCCGGGAATATGACCCGCACCGAAACCCTCTCAGCACCCGACGCCATCATCGTCAAGATCCTCGACATCAACGAAAACAAGAGTTAGGTTGGAGGAACCGATCCAGGTGACAACCTACTTTTTTCCGTCCCCAATCCCATCTCACAATGCCTAACGTTGAAGTTGAACCCCCGGTCGACGTTGAAGTTGAAGTTGACGTCGAAGCCGAAGTCCCCGTCGCGGAAGATGTCGGAGAGATGGACCTCATGAAGGCCCTTCAAGAGGTGATGAAAAAGGCCATCGTGCACGACGGGCTTGTGCGCGGGCTCAACGAGTGTGCCAAGGCGCTGGATCGCGGCCTTGCGCAGCTTTGCGTGCTGGCATCAGACTGCGACGAGCCCGCCTACACGAGGCTCATCGAGGCGCTGTGCAGCGCGCATTCGGTCGCGCTCGTGCGCGTGCCGGACAAGAAGCAGCTCGGTGAGTGGGCTGGCTTGTGCAAGATCGACGAGGAGGGCAACGCCACAAAGGTCGTCGGCTCCACTTGCGTCGTCATCAAGGAGTTCGGAGAGAGCTCGCCCGGCTACGAGTTTTTGCTCGAGTATATCAAAGAGGATAAGGGTGACGAATAAGTGGCGGACGGAGGGTTTGGTCATAGTTGGGGTGCGGTTTGTGAGCGGCCCTCGCTTGTACTGTACAGTTCACAAGCGGGGCGAGTGCTCCAGGGCACTTGCAATGCGGCGAACCGCGGTTACATGCCAATAAACACTATGTCTTCATGCATTCGCGAGAGGTAAATGCGAGCTTAGCTTAGTGTTTACGAAAAGGCGTCCGGCACTCCCGATTGCTACCCTGCCCCGCTGCAGCCTCCCTTGACACGATCACAAAAGCGAACCGTCCTCAGCCCTCCACCACTCCCTTATAGCTCCCCCACGCCGCATGCGATTCCTTGAGTTGCACGCGTATCTCGCCGTTGAACTTGCCTTTAAACCGCAGCGCGATGCCATCAAAGACTTGCTTGCACATAAACTCTGTGGTGGTGTTCTGGCCATTGAATTCCTCGATTTCGTCCAGATTTTTGTAGTTGTATTTGCTGAGGACGTCCTTGAGCGCGGTGGACGCCTGGCCGATGTCTACGACCCAGTTGAGATGGGGGACGAGACAGTCGGTTCTGAATTCGCAGTCAACAACGTAAGTGGCTCCGTGCATCTGTTGGGGAATCGTTTGATGGTATTAGCATCGGTTTGCAAAGCGGGAGGAGAAAGGGATGCGACGAAAAGGGCTTACCTGCTGGGCTGGCCCGAACTCAGGGCCTTTGAAGGAGTGGGCAATCATGAAAGAATCCCTGACGCAGAGAGAATACCCCATTGCTAGAAATGTGAATAGCACTGTGATAACTCTTTAAAGAATAGTGGGTCTATGAATGCTTGCGTTAAAATGGGTATTGGTTCAAGCGTGGGAGATTTTGGTAATCAAGAATGGTCCAGTTGTGAGAGAAAGTGTGGCGAGTCCCCAGCATGTACACGTGTACACGTGTTCAATCGTATTGCCTTTGCAATCCGAAGCACCCGAGGTTCCGGCAAGGTTACCAAGGTGTACTCGAAAGAAGAAAGGATTTCACATATTCCACAGCACGTGACCTTGTGCGCCGCATGTATCAATCTTCTTTCGCTCAGTCTTTCTCGAGGCGAATGGTCAGCCGGCAACTCACGCCCACCTTCACACCACCGCCTGTACATTTCATTTCATCCCAGCCAGCAAGCGAGAGCCACCAAAAAACAGGAGGGCAAGTCGACAACAGAAAAAACGGAACACTGCAAACTGCACCTTCCCCCAAGCGAATCCTCACCGGCTGCTGACCTGCAACACATCGCACGCGTCATGAACCAAGAAAGGAGTTCCGACCCATTCCACGAACCTTATCAACAAGCCGTGCACCCACCGGGGCAGCTCCCCCAGCCGCCATCGTCGCAGCAACCTCAATTTGCGGGCACCCCCGCATATGGAGGCGCCAGCCTGCAAGGGGCCCCCGGCATGCCCCCCAGCTACACTCCGGGCTACAACTTCAACAGCGGCTTCGGCTCCTACGGAAACCCTCACGGGAACTCCTTCAACAACATGTACAATAACGCCTACACCCCCTACAACTACTCCCATCCCTACGGCTCCTACCCCCTTCAGCGCCAAAACGCCAGCGCGCAGCTCGCTTCTGGCGCCCGCGAAACTGGCGAGATGGTCTTGTCGGGCATGCACGAAGCCATGTCTCGCTTTGCGCGCGTGTCCTCCATGATCGAGGAGGTCCTGCGCCATCTGCACATGCTCTTCGACGCCATCTTCGGCCTGGGGTACAGCTTGGGCGCGTTTAGGCAGGAGGCGGGCCAATGGCTGGGGGTCAAGACGGGGCCCGTCGGCTATTTGGCTCGCTTACTTAGGAGAGCGGCCAACTTATGGAGGCTCTTGTGCTTGTTCTTTATGTCGCCCGCCGCCGGCAGGTTTTCGCCGGTCGCGCTCGTGTTGAGGATTCTCGGGCTCGTGCCCGAAGATGACCCACTGGAGGCCTCCATGGCAGAAATGTGGGGCAGGAGCGGGGAGGGGGAGGGTGTGAGGGGGCTGTTCGATACGCATCCGTTGGCGGATGCGTCCAATATGTGAGCGTGATAGGTGCCATTTAGTCTATGGAGATAGCGTTTAGCGTCGTGGAATAGAATTGGGATTATTCTTTCGTCTTGACCGCAGGAGCATATCGAGTTGCAAGTCGTTCAACTTTTTTTATTTGTGTTAAGAGAAGCGTAAACGTGACTACGGAACAAAGATGTCTTGATGGGCCTGCTGAAACACTGAAATTTCTGATGGAGGGTTTGTGGCGAAGGGATCCATTTTGGTCTGCATCTTTCAAAGTTAATTTTTCGCATACTTTCTCTCGTGTTCTATCCTGAACGATCCGCGAATTCTGTCCTCCCTGCCAGCATCATCCAGAATTTCCCTTGCTCTCCGCCATCCCATTCCCCACACCCCCCCGAGACTGTGTCGCCGCTTACCAGTCATCCAACTCTCCCGCTGAGATGGCTTTTCGCGCTCGCCTTCTCTCTAGAGCATTCCATGCCTCCCGCGCCGTACGCGCCGCCGAAGGTAAGTGAGCATCTTCCGTGCGCCCGATCATTCCCGAGTATCCGAGAAACGGCCAACGACATCTTCAAGGTGGCACCCCATGGGCCATTCCTGTGGACCGATTCTTGCTTGTCACCCCTCTCGTACAGAAATTCCGCAACCGCTAACCTTTGCTTGCACAATTCAATCCCCGCATGCACAACGTGCAGGCCCCGGCTCGACGACCGAGCACTTCAACGAGCCCGGCGGCCGGCTTTTCGGCGAAGCGATTCGTCAGCCTGGCGAGAGGAGAAAGCTTTTCGATTGGGAAGTCCCCTACATTGGCACCCTCGTGCTCGCTGGTTTAATGCTAGGCTTTGGGCTAAACTCCCGACCAGAGACGTCGGCACTCGTGTGGGCCCGTGAGGAGGCACTGGCGAGACTCGACGCGGCGGAGAAGGCCGAGGGTGGTGGCGATGAATGAGGGGGAGCGCAGATGAACATAGGAGGCGTGGTTTTGTAGAAGTGAGGAGCTACGGCTGCGCCGACGCTGGCGACGCGTGTGTAGTCGGCAAGCGGACGAGGCAGAAGAGGTTACTAATTGCTCTTGACAGCTCGGGGGCTTGCTGCGTAGGTCGAGGCTCGTCGCAAAATGTCTCACGAGCAGATTTTACGCATGATGGCGGATGAGCGACCACATGCGCAATTGCATCGACGGCAAGTGGGTTCCCTCGGGCCGTCGCGATGAAAATGCGAATCGCTGCAGGCAAACGGGAAGAGCTCGTCGGACAACGCTGACATGATGCAATAAATACGGATTTCATACAAGCCTTTGACAGTTTACCGATCCCCTAAGACTTTGAGCTCCTCCTCGAGCTCTTTTATGTGCCCATCTATCTTAATGAGGTCTGGATGTGAGGCAAGAGCGGCTTCCAGCTGCTTTTTAGGCGCCCGCACCTTCTTTGCAAGTTTTGTCGCATCTGGGTGTTGTCGTTTCCGCCAGCGAGAGGGCATCTCGTCGGACGCAGCACAAATCGAAAAAGGAATCGTCAGTTCTCTCCATTCCGCGTCGGGAATAGCATTCATGAAGTGCGGCGCAAGCACGCGTGCTATCGAAACGAACCGTCAATGATGCGGCCCTTGAACTCCTTCAAGCCCGAAAGGACCTCGTGAATCTCGGCGGCTCTCATCGCGGCCTCGTCTAATTTCTCCTCGTCATCCACGGCATCCGCATCCTTCTTCACAGCCACGCAAGCCGTGTGTCTGAGCAATGCCCGTCGACTGCGCACCGCGGCACAAACGCGACGGCCGTGGAACGACGTAGTGGACAATTGGGGCGAAGTGCGCCCGCGCGAGAGCGCGAGCGCAGCTCCGGAGAGGAAGGCGAGCGCCATCGTGGCGCGGAGATAGTTAAGAAGACGTGGTCTGCGAGACGAGGGATGAAGTGAAGGAACTGGGGGAGGAGATGGAAATGTTAGATGGAAGAAGTTGTTGGTGACGACCACGATGGGTATCGTGCAGGGCGGTGGTCACGAGCTCAGTAGAACATTTGCTGCAGATATTTTGGTCGATAGGAGCTGGCTGTAAGCGGGGCGCATTTCAGTTCATTGTTGATTTTCATTGGATAGATCCCCACAAAAGGCAAAATCATACCACTGTGTCTCTCTATGCGGTGATTGTAGCTTGACCCTTTCTCTTGCAATGCCACCAAGGGATCAAATATTCTTCCCGAGTCTTAGGAGCTAAAAGTCGTTGAAGACATGGACAAAGAAGGCTGTATCATTGACACAAATCGCTCACTCGAAGCGATGAGGGAGCCTTTCTGAATGTCGCACATCACTGTCTTGATTATCTGGAAAGACGAATTTTGAAGGAGGGATGTGACCGCATTTCCTCCCACTGCATTTTGCATTTTCCCGACCCACCCTGAGCAGTCATGCCTCACTCTCCCGTTCTTCCAGAAAGAAAAGTTTTTTCCAATAACAGCCGAATGAAGCACCGTCATGCGAGCGGAGGTCAGAGAGACAGCCTTCGGCTAGTTGACCCCAACTACTCCGGTGCGCCGCCTCGACCGTTTCCTCCTTTCGCACTTGCTTGCCGATTGCCAAACTTGAAAGCTTCACCAGCTTGTGCTGTCCGTCGGTACCGATATGTTCGGTGCAATCGTGTCGGGGATATCCGTTTTGCTCTTGCTCTACGGCTCCAATTATCTGCCGAAGTCACGCCCGGATGACCTAGAAGTTGCTCTCAACGAGTTTATCAAAACCCACGCCAACAATTTTGTGCCAACTGCGTCTCCGCGACCACAACTGGTAGACAGATTTTTCTCTCCTGATGCAACGATTCGTGCAGAGTTACATTCTGAAGTATTCCAGTTATTCCGTGTTGGGGAAAAGTGCGACCCAGCCTGTGCACGCAAAATTGCTCGCTCCCTCAGGAAAATCAAATGCTCTCATGTTCGTTACTTAGGGAGGCTTCACATCATCGAAGCTCGTTGCGATGGTGTCAAAGAACTCACTGCCCACCAAGTCGGTGAGTTTGCACTCGCCCACATCACAGAAATTGAGAAGCAGTACGACAATATCCTCATGGCGCCTCCATCTGATAGAGAATCCGTCGACCACCAAGATAAAGAACACGAAGAAATGCTAGCTAAATCCGCCAACTTCACTCCTGAAGTCGGCAAGGAAGACGCTATTTTGGGGCACCTGGAGCGGTATGTACAGACTGCCAATCTTCCCTGGGGTCTCGACAGGATCGATCAGGTGTCTACACGAGATAAAAAGCTTGATCTCTCATGCTTTCCGCATCTTGGTCAGGGGGTCAATATATATGTTTTGGATTCTGGCTGCCGCACTTCCCATGAAGACTTTACTGGTCGCATTGTCGGTGTCCGCGTCGGTCGGTACAGTTCTTTCCGAGATGGGCATGGGCATGGGACCCATATTGCCGGGACGTCTGCTGGAACGAAGTATGGGGTGTGCAAGAATTGCAATATCATCTGTGTAAAGACTTTGGATGACCGTAATCTCGGTACGCTCATGGATGTTTTGGATTCGATTGACTATGTCTTGGATCACAAGAGCAGAAATCGAGGGTCACCAGGCGTTGCCGTGTTGTCCTTGGGAGGTGCGATTCCAACGGATTTGTTGGATGATGGTATGGAGAGGCTTCTGCGTGCAGGTGTTATACCTGTTGTGGCCTCGGGAAACGGGAATGCAGATGCATGTGCCTGGACTCCGGCTCGATCTGTTGATGCGATTACTGTCGGAGCCTCGACCATGTTCGATTGGACAAGGTCGTCGAGCAATGGCGGATCCTGTGTGGACATAGTAGCACCTGGTGACTACATCTTATCAGCATCCCATACGACAGATACAGGAACGGCATGGATGTCAGGCACGTCAATGGCTGCTCCTCACGTTGCAGGAGCAGTTGCACTAGTACTGGGGGAGAAGCCGTCATTGACTAAGGACCAAGTTCTCGCGCTACTCAGGAGAAACGCAGCGATGGTGAAAGACGCACGCAGGGACTTTTATTACCATTTGCTTTTAGTGAAGCAACCACACTGTTCAGTCTACGGCTTCGCCGAGACCCAGGAGAGTTCTGGTGCGCAGAGTTTTGCCACAGTGACTAATCTTCCTGCTTCGGTGTCGCCATCTCAAACCCCTAGTCGTTCACCATCGCGAACACCCTCCAGCTCACCATCAAGAACGCCATCCCGAATGCCCTCCCCATCACGAACGCCATCAAGGTCACCATCAAGGTCACCATCAAGGTCACCATCAAGGTCACCATCAAGGTCACCGTCAAAGACGCCATCCCGAACGCCGTCGCCATCGCAGACACCGTCTAGGTCGCCATCACGGACACCATCTCGGACGCCATCGCCGTCGCAGACACCGTCTAGATCACCATCGCGAACGCCATCTCGGTCGCCGTCGCCATCCCGGACACCGTCGAAGTCACTTTCACGGACGCCATCTCGGACGCCGTCACCATCCCAGACACCGTCTAGGTCGCCATCTCGGACGCCATCGCCATCGCAGACACCGTCTAGATCACCATCGCGAACGCCATCTCGGTCGCCGTCGCCATCCCAGACACCGTCTAAGTCACCTTCACGGACGCCATCTCGGACGCCGTCACCATCCCAGACACCGTCCAGGTCACCTTCACGAACGCCATCACAGACGCCGTCCAGGTCACCATCCCAGACGCCATCCCGGTTACCGTCAAGGACGCCTTCTCTGACGCCGTCACCATCGCGGGCGCCGACGAGTTCACCATCGAGGACGCCATCGAGGATGCCGTCACCATCCCAGACGCCGACGAGTTCACCATCGAGGACGCCATCTCTGACGCCGTCACCATCGCGGACGCCGACGAGCGCACCATCGAGGACGCCTTCTCTGACGCCATCACCATCCCAGACGCCGACGAGTTCACCATCGAGGACGCCATCTCTAACGCCGTCACCATCGCGGACGCCGACGAGCGCACCATCGAGGACGCCTTCTCTGACGCCATCACCATCCCAGACGCCGACGAGTTCACCATCGAGGACGCCATCTCTAACGCCGTCACCATCCCAGACGCCGACTAGTTCGCCGTCGCGGACGCCATCTCTGACGCCATCACCGTCTCAGACGCCTACGAGCTCACCATCGAGGACGCCTTCTCTGACGCCTTCACCGTCCCAGACGCCGACGAATTCACCATCGAGGACGCCATCTCTGACGCCGTCACCATCCCAGACGCCGACTAGTTCGCCGTCGCGGACGCCATCTCTGACGCCGTCACCATCGCGGACGCCGACGAGTTCACCATCGAAGACGCCTACAAGTTCACCATCGAGGACGCCATCTCTAACGCCGTCACCGTCCCAGACGCCGACTAGTTCGCCGTCGCGGACGCCTTCTCTGACGCCGTCACCATCCCAGACGCCGACGAGTTCACCATCGAGGACGCCATCTCTGACGCCGTCACCATCCCAGACGCCGACTAGTTCGCCGTCGCGGACGCCATCTCTGACGCCGTCACCATCGCGGACGCCGACGAATTCACCATCGAGGACGCCATCTCTGACGCCGTCACCGTCCCAGACGCCGACGAATTCACCATCGAGGACGCCATCTCTGACGCCGTCACCGTCCCAGACGCCGACGAATTCACCATCGAGGACGCCATCTCTGACGCCGTCACCGTCCCAGACGCCGACGAATTCACCATCGAGGACGCCATCTCTGACGCCGTCACCGTCCCAGACGCCGACTAGTTCGCCGTCGAAGACTCCTTCTCTAACGCCTTCACCATCCCAGACGCCTACAAGTTCACCATCTCTGACGCCATCTCTGACGCCGTCACCATCCCAGACGCCTACAAGTTCACCATCGAGGACGCCTTCTCTGACGCCGTCACCGTCCCAGACGCCTACAAGTTCACCATCGAGGACGCCATCTCTAACGCCGTCACCATCCCAGACGCCGACTAGTTCGCCGTCGCGGACGCCATCTCTAACGCCGTCACCGTCCCAGACGCCGACTAGTTCGCCGTCGAGGACGCCTTCTCTGACGCCATCACCGTCCCAGACGCCGACTAGTTCGCCGTCACGGACGCCATCTCTAACGCCGTCACCATCCCAGACGCCGACTAGTTCGCCGTCGAGGACGCCTTCTCTGACGCCTTCACCATCCCAGACGCCTACAAGTTCACCATCGAGGACGCCATCGAGGACGCCATCACCGTCCCAGACGCCGACGAGCTCTCCATCGAGGACGCCTTCTCTGACGCCATCACCGTCCCAGACGCCGACGAGCTCTCCATCAAGGACGCCATCGCTGACGCCGTCACCGTCCCAGACGCCGACGAATTCACCATCGAGGACGCCATCTCTGACGCCGTCACCGTCCCAGACGCCGACGAATTCACCATCGAGGACGCCATCTCTGACGCCGTCACCGTCCCAGACGCCGACGAATTCACCATCGAGGACGCCATCTCTGACGCCGTCACCGTCCCAGACGCCGACGAATTCACCATCGAGGACGCCATCTCTGACGCCGTCACCGTCCCAGACGCCTACGAGCTCACCATCAAGGACGCCTTCTCTGACGCCTTCACCATCCCAGACGCCGACTAGTTCGCCTTCGCGGACGCCATCTCTAACGCCGTCACCGTCCCAGACGCCGACTAGTTCGCCGTCGCGGACGCCTTCTCTGACGCCTTCACCATCCCAGACGCCTACAAGTTCACCATCTCTGACGCCATCTCTGACGCCATCTCTGACGCCATCACCATCCCAGACGCCTACAAGTTCACCACCGAGAACGCCTTCTCTGACGCCGTCACCATCCCAGAGGCTGTCAATGACCCCAACAGATTCACCTTCAAGAACGCCGTCTCCTACACCTCGTCGCTCACAGCGGCGGGCAGGTGCAACAGAAGCTAACCCCTCTCAATCACAGCCTCAAACCATAACACTTGCTCTTTCGCCTTCGCAAATGCCGTCAATATCGCCCAGTCACCCATCATCACAAATACTCATGGCAAAGGCATTGCCGTCCCGAGCGCCTTCTACGACACCTGAGATTTCACGGCCTCGGACACCATCCACATTCGCTAGTTCTCCACTTTCAAAGGCACCGTCATCAAGGCCTACTCTTTCGTCTTCGAGCACGCCACCTTTGAAAGCAAAGAGTACAGTGTCCGAGACTCCTTCCATTGCAGTTACTGGTTTTCGCTCTGGAGCGCCGTCTATCACGAGTAGTCAATCCTCGAGGCCAAGCAAGTCACCCTCAAGCACTTCGTCATCCACGCCTACTGTTTCATCATCAATGATACCACCAAGGACGACCAGTACGGAACCTTCACCTATGCCGTCAACAGCGCCCTTATCGTCACGAACACCGTCCAAAACACATTGTCGTTCACGTGCACCGACATCGCCCACCACATCTGGCATTCCACTACCACCAACCAGCCAACTGAGGCCATCACCGTCCCAGACACCGTTTAAGTCCACTTCTGCGACTCCGAGCGGTGAAAATTGGCACAGATCTGGGACTGATACCCAAGGCAGCAGCATCCCTACAACAGCGAGTCTCAGTCCAACCCAAACTACAACAGATGAAGTAGAATCTGCTGGCACATCGCAAAGTAGCACTCCTTCGCTGCATACATCACCAAGGCCTACACCGAGTGCTTCCATATTCATCCCCCATGGACAAGCAGGGTGGCCCGGCACGAACGAAACCCAGGGGTCCTTCGGACGTGCTTCTGAATCAGTGTCCTTCTCCCCCAGCCTATCTCAAGAGCCGTCGGCAGCAGCAACGGCAAAGCCCCCGGGCTTAATTTCGCCATCATCCAGCGAAACACCGAGTGTAACCGTGTCGCAGTCGCTGACTGTACCAAGGAATATGGAATCAGAAACTGGTTCGCGGATGTCACCAAAGCCCAGTGAGGCGCCAAAGATGAAAGCCGCACCAACGGGTACTATGCTGAGGAGCAGAGCACCCTCTCCCGTATTATCCACGAATTTGAGTGCTCATCCGAGTATGAGCACAATACCATCAGTTTTTATATCTTCCTCACTAAGCCTGACCCCGATCCCAAGTGCTGTACCATCCCTTTCTTTGTCAATGAACCGAACCCCTACACCCACTACGCCCATGGCTTTAAGTGCAACGCCGAGCATGACTTTCACACCCTTGATGTCGTCAAGTGCAACTTCAAGCGGGATCGCGACTCCTTCGGTTTCTGTATCATGGAGAGGGGCACCCACACGAAGTGCATTGATGAGCCCTATCGCGACACCAAGGATGAGCACAGCAGCATCAGCGTCAGTGACCTCGTCATCAAGTTTGGCCCCAACCGCAAACGGCGCGCCATCCGCTTTGGCCGCACAGAACTGGACACCTACTGCCTTGAATAGTTCAAGTGCCACCCCATGGATGACTCCAACACCGTCGACGTCGACTACTTCATCATCAAGTGTGACTCCAAACCCGAATGGTATCCCAAAGTGGAGTACATCGCCGTCAGTTGCTGCGTCAGGAAGTCACATACAGCATCCTACGACGATAAGTCCTATCGTCACGCCAAGCGTTACGTTGACACCACCGGTGATTTCGGTAAGTGCGACACCATCAGTCTCTAGTTCAAAGGGTGAGACGACGACCTCTAGTTCAGCCGTGAACTGGAGTGCCACTCCTAACTTATCGCCGGCCTCATCGAAGTCGATGAATGCATTGCAGAGCCGAGCTCCAAGTGTGGATGCGACAGAGACCGCGAGCCCAAATTTGCCGGTCAACTGGAACTCATCGCCAAGCATCTCTGTATCTCCTTCATTCATGCAAACCATTCCTTTCTCCAAGACGACCCCAATTGTTGGACCAACACCATCCGTCTCGCCGCATAGAACACGTTTACAGACGGATAATTTCTCTACTAGTCAGATAGTAACGCCGACAGACACCCCAAACCCGTCCACATCCATTTCTACATCTTCAGGGGCACCGCCGAGGGCAAGCATGACACCATCATTATCTGTTTTGGGAAGCAGGACGGCGACGCCTAGCCCGCCTGCAAGTCCAAGTGGAATGGCGAGTGGAAGTGTGACACCATCTAGTCCGTCTACAATTCAGTCGCCGAGTGCAAGCACGACACCATCAATATCCATTTCAGGGAGCAGGACGCCAACACCTAGTACGTCTACGAGTCCGGATGCAACGCCGAGCACAAGCATGACGCCATCTATATCGGTTTCAGGGCGCAGGACACCGACGCCTAGTGCGTCTACGAGTCCGAGTGCAACGCCGAGCACAAGCACGACGCCATCTTTATCGGTTTCAGGGAGCAGGACACCGACGCCTAGTGCGTCTACGAGTCCGAGTGCAGCGCCGAGCACAAGCATGACGCCATCTATATCGGTTTCAGGGAGCAGGACACCGACGCCTAGTGCGTCTACGAGTCCGAACGCAAAGCGGAGTGAGCATAAGACCCCGTTAGTGGGGCCTACCCCTGCAATAAGTGCGACGCCGTCAGTATTTGCGCCAGGTGATGCGAATCCGAATCCTGGTTCGGCGAAGGTTTCAAGCCCTACGCCGAGTTTGACTACAACACCGCGTGCACCGGCAATACTATCGCCAAGTGCGTCGCCAAGTGCAAGCCCTGTGTCAACTAGTTCTAAGCCAACCAGCAAAACCCCGTCTCAAAGCTTATCTTCAAGTTCGAGTGCGGAGCTGAGCTCGTCTACGTCGATGTCCCCGACACCAGTATCAGACACGGTGGCTCCATCATTGAAAGCGCACCCAAGCAAGAATACCGACCTCTCCGCCTCGTCAAGAACATCGCCTACCCCATTCATTGGTGCGAAAATAGCGCCGAGTGCGTTGGTGTCACCGTCTGCATCCACATCTGCTGTCATATTGCCTGAAACCGAAGTCGTACCCAAATCAGTACCAGTGAATTTGCCGAGAACGATTCCCTCTTCTCCGAGTACCGCACCGAGAGAGTCCTTGCTGGTGTCCCATTCTGAAGTTGCCCTGTTTCCGCACACGACCTTAGATCCAACCTCTCAGACAGAGCCAAACGAAGAAGAGATCACTGGAGATGTGCAACCGTCCATGACTCCTACTATTTCCGGACCTGCACCGGAGACGAGTCTGGAGGAAGCCAAGATTCTCCCGGACTCTGCCGCAGATACTTCTGGTTTTCCAGAGAGTATATTGGAAGCGTTTTCTCCGCCAGTACAGCCGCAGGAACATTTGAGAAGTGTAGAGGCCTCAGCAGCCCCGCCTCACTCATTACTAGTTCCATCTCAGGAACTGCCATCATTGCCGGAAGCCTCCAAACCACCAACGACATGGAATGGAGTTATCCCCTCAGCCATAGGATCACCTTGGATAGATGAGATTTTGTCCTTGCCACCAGATTTGCCAAAAGCAAAGGAGCCATCCGCAACGGGCCCAGTCATGGTTGAGACTGCGATTACACCACGCCCTGCAAGCACCAATCCTCGTCACCAAATTGGTCGGATTACCATAGCCTCAACCCTCCCAACATCCACGATATGTTCTACTGTTTCGTTCTCACAAATGTTTGAGCACGATGCGACTGTGAAGATTATCCTCACTCTACAACGAGATGGTGTGGACGTCGATTCGTTCTCATTGAAAGCTGTAGTTGACATCATTAATGTGACTGTAGAAGGCTTCGACATATGCGTCACCGCGATTTCTGCGATGGGGCGCTTGCCGCATGACTCTTTGAGCGCGTATTGGTTGGCATTGGCAGAAGATGAATCTTGGGTTCAATCTGGACAACTCGGTTTGTCCCGGCATCTAGATTTTCTCGATGGAAAATGTCACACGGTTACCGATGAAAGAGCCTCTCTCCTGAAGGATCCAGTTTTGATTCCCGCTTCTGGTTTACTCCTGACACCAGAGTCGAGCCACGGATTCCAAAGGGGTGCCCTCAGATGGATCGAGAAGTTTGATGGAAGTAGATTTTCGTTCTGCACACAGCGGGTCGTTAGTAACTTGCTCGGCGCTAACGATGCGGCGAAGTATTTCGCGGACACGTATTTGATCGTGGGTGCTGTCGAGGAACAAGGGGTTGTTACGACTGGACATGTCTCCATTCCGCCATGGAGTCCAGGACGAAACTGTGCCTATGTCTCCCTACGCCCACGAGAGACAACCCCCTTCATTTTCATAGGTTTGGAATATCCAATTGCCTTAGGAAACGCATACTCTAGTGACGCTGCGATCGCATGGGTCTCGAACATGACATCTGCAGGATTTTCTCTCTGCGTTGAGGAAGTGAGAGAATTCTGGGAGGACGAGCAAGCATTCCGTTCTGAAGCAACAGCGCATTGGGTAGCAGTATACACATAACCACCAAGCAATAGAGTAGGCAGATTTCCAAGAACCACTCCCACGCTGACTGCGATATCTCAAATATTTCGTGTCGGCATATTCCTAGTGTTAACAACTACCGTGTATCTCTTTTGTTGCGATAGAGCATCATTAAAGAGAACCAGTACCTTATTGCCTCTTCAAATCGCCACTGATCTCTCAGTTTCGGCTTCGAGTTGCACAACGTACTCGACGCTCACAGTCTGCGTCTGCGAGTAAGCAACTCGTAACAAAAGTTGTAGTGTTCTCGCCAGATGATTCTCGTATATCAAGTCACATTCCGCCAGGATGACGGTAGACGTGCTAGCTCCTTCCAGTAATGAGTCTGTGTCTGTAAAAAGTGACGCAAAGGAAGCGTGTGTAAATTAGCATGACTGTGCAACACGTGATCTACACTATCTCAATGGTCTGGCGCCACTACTTGGTACTTAACGCATTTTCAGAGCATGGCTTTTCGAAAAAATGTCTATCCTTCACAGCACGAGACTCTAACAGTAATTCTGGCTCTCCGGGTTGATCCGGTCTTCAACTGAGGGCGATGATTTAACTCGCTTTAAGTGGGAGCATTTCATTCAGGACTGTGTTTTTCAGGCAGCAGGTTTCGTGGCCTCGTGTCGTAGAACTACAAAATCGATCTTGACTAGGCACGGCAAGCTAGACATAAATGTGCTATACTTCAAAAAGATGTGGCCTGCGTTGTACGCGCTACGGAGAAAGCTGTGAGTGTATAGAACTCAAGAGGTCTAAATGTGTTTAGGAAGCTGGAATTCATTTTACCGTTTACGATGTTATCTCGTTAGTGGGCTTGCCAGTTGTTTGAAATCAACAAAGGTTCCGAGCCGTCAAAGTATAACTGTTCTTGAACATGTGCTCGGCCCTGGGCTCTTTGGATGACGTTCTGTACCGCACCTGCGACGACATCTGGCCTCTCAAGGTGAATGAAGTGCCCGCAATCTTGAACTGGGATGACAATTGCGTCGCTTGAGTATGTGGCTAGTCTTGTCTGGAGGTCGCCGATGTAGGCCATGCCTTTTGTTCGTCGGTATACGTCTGGGACCAAGACGGCAATTGGCAAAGAACCGAGCCAACCGGGTGGAAACTTCATGGCTTCACCACTTGATACCTTTACGTCCATCATGGCGGCTCTCCATTCTCGCGTGTATGCCATCAACCAATCACCTTTTGCCCATGTGGCCATGGCTGCGTCCCTCAAGTCTCCGTGAAAGGCCGAAGCGTATGGCTTTAGCGCAACCGGCGCGAAAAGTCTCAACAAGCCGAACCAGCCCAGGGCCTTCGCAAGCCAGGCGGGCGGAGACGAGGTCGGGACGATCTTCTCAAGTAAAGCGACAGTTTCTGGTGATGCGGCGTCGACATATACGATGCCGCACACGTCCGCTGGATTCAACAGCTGTAGCAAGACATTTGCGTACAAGGCGCCAAGCGAATGGGCAACGAGCAGATATGGCGGACGCGCGCCTACACTAGCGATAAGGGAAGCCAGGTCATCTGCAACAGATCGAACGTCTCTCATCGGGCTCGGATCAGAGTCAGAAAAGCCGAAGCCGGCTCTGTCGTACCTTAGGACGCGAGTGATGGAGGCGAGGTCGGATGCGACACCGTCCCAGACGGGGGACCATGAATTTGCGCCGGCCTCCATGACTACGCAAGGAGCCGACTCCAATGCTGGCGGGGCATCATAGACGACGTGGACGCGACGGCCGTCATTGCGTACGGCGACAAGTTGGCCAGGCGGTCTTCGCGTGCGCTCCTTGAGACGGGTGGCAGCCTCGATAGTGGCAGCGATGCTCGCGACGAGAAGTGGGGTGAGGGCCGGGGCGAGAAAGGCGGGTTCTGGTGGACGTCGGGAGGCGAAATGAGGCATTGCTCGAGATGTCAAACATGCTGTGGAATGGCTCGGTTTTGGATGGCGAGGATGGCACGGAGCGGACTACATATACGGATCAGACGGGCAATCCAGACGGGATAGCGTATTGAAATGGAGATAAGTCCTTCGCGGTGGCCGCAGATGCTGCCGATTCAGGTAGACGTAGAGATAGAAGCATTGTACTGTACAAGTATACGTGTCCCAAGTGTGTGGTGCATACAACATCAACTGCGTCAGAGAGTAATAATGGCGACCTTTAATTGGCTTGGATAGGTGCCTGTTCATTGCGGTGTTGCTTGACTCAATGGGGCTCCTCATCGTGGCGCATGTGTTTTCTTCCGAATTTCTATGAATTAGAAATTCGGAAGAAAACAGGGCACTTAATCTTAAAACATACGGACAGAATCACAACTGTGAAGATACAGTATTAATGGCACCAGTTAGGGAAATATCCCTAACTGGCGATGTTGCCAGCAACATCGACGCTTGCCCGCCAACCAACACCGTCGCTTCCAAAATTTCCCAGAAATATCTGCCCTTCAAAACCAACTCTATGCTCCAAGCCCTCCACCAATAGATAACCGTTTATCTTCTCCTCTCCTGTGCTCTCTACGTGTGCCCGAGGGACGCAGCAACCACACATTCTCCTGTCGACCCTATCCTCGTCCCGCTCGTATGTTTAAGTGTGTGAGGTTATCGTTGCGCTGTTGCAAAAACGGTAAGTGGCCAAACACGTCCTGTCCCAATTTCTTCTTTTCCTCAGAACGCCCCCCAGCACACTATGCAGGGTGGTAAAACGACAAAACCTTCTCCGTGGCCACGATTGGGATAATCACTGCGTCTGCGGTCCCTCTCTGTAACTGACGATATCTCTAGATATGCACGCCAGCCTTTCCATCACGCTGCAGATCTCTTCCGCAGACAAGCCAAGTAATAGTGACGCGGCATGCATCCCCACTTGTTTATAGGCCCTTCTTCTGGAGGCCCCTCTCCTTCTCTGTCAAAATCCATCCATAGCTACGGACCGCACTCACTCACCCTCCTCCCTCCCTATTGAACCAATCGCAATGCAAGAGCAATACTTATGTGGGGAGATCAGGGAAGGGGCCTCTCAATAATGCCAAAAATGTCGTGCAATCTTGTCAAAACCCTGTGATTTTGACCCCGTTAAAAGCTATAATCGTAGTATGATAAACGCCTGAAGACCCGTACATTATAGTTCGTCTCGGATTTCCCATGCTGTATTGTAAACCTACAAAAGAAGCGATACAAATTTGGTGAAAGGAGACGGCATGTCTACCAATATATTTATATAATGATTCTGATCATCTCAGTTCTTGGTAAAGGAAGTGTCAAGGTTTTTTATACAGTACAGTATCGCGGTCAAAGAAAGAATACAGAGTTCAGACTCGTCTTACAGCGATCGTTTTGTCTGGGTCACTGTTCACGTGCTATCGACCATCAGCAAGTGGAAAGATCATGAGCGAATTCTCTTCACTTGCTCACTATCAGCGTGTCTAACATAGTCATAGCTAGTACTGCAGTTAATTTTCTATACAGATCACCCTGTGATTCGACGCCTATCTATTCATTTGTCATTAGCAACTTCTGGCTGCTTGTCACCACTCGTGAATGAGCCTCTGAAGCCACATCTCCATTTGCACTCATGATTGTACCCAGAGACAAGGCTTTGTCCCACGAGATCCCTGAAAGCTCCTCACAGTCCCCGCTATAGCTGAATGGGAAGGCAACTATAGAATACTTGCAGGAATCCGTAGGGTGCGGATGTTAGTTCAATTGCTAATTGTCCACTTCGGACCCTTTTGCCACTAGTTGGTGCACCAGGGCGTCATGATATGAGGACAGTTGCAAATATAATTGAGTTCCCCTCGAAGCCAAATCATCAAAATCAGAGACCCGAACGGGGCTACTCGGGATGGTCGGGGCTTCGGCTTGACTGGCTCTGCTTCACATCACTTCCATCAAGGAAAGCAAAAGAAAGAGAAGCGAGGGATCTTGAAAGCTCTGCGGATGCACTGAGAGCGCGTCGCACCCTTTTCACAGCCTTTCTTGAATTTCCCTCGGTATGTTTGAGTAGAGTGTAGCTCGGTGCGATTGGGATGCGATAGGAAGTGGCGCTATACCCCAAGGCGCCGATAATGACGATGGCGGTGGACAGGCCTTTTCTCGAGTTGTAACATTGGGAGGCCTGGTGAGTGCAGAACAGTAGTGAGCTGACGCCGAAAACACTGACGGCTCGAATTGCGTTGCACACGCCGATGGGAACCGCGCCGATGGTGGCGACAACATCGTAGTGAGAGATGGCGTGGAAGAAAGAGGCGACGGCGAGGTAGAAGTACTCCTCCAAGATGATGGTGATGTTGCCGTGATGGCGCCGGATGGAGGAGGTGACGAGAAGTTCCCAGTTAGGAATGGTGTGCAGTGAGATGTAAATGGAGAATAAGAGCAAGCATGAGCCACCTGTGTACAAGGACAGGTCGAGGCCGGAGGGTGGCGGGAGGACGGAGGGGTCGTCTTCATCATCGCGGCGGGTGGAGTCCAGAAAATGCTCTGCGATGACATAGTTGGTGGAGTAGAAGAGGCAGGAGACGAGGACGAAGCAGATGCCGGTGACGAGGCTTGTCGCGCCGGCCTCCGTGGTGGAGTGTGTGACCTGCTCTGCGGTGATCATCAGGCCGGCGGTGATGGTTGCGACGCAGAGCCACTGCGAGACGGAAAGCGGTTTCTTTAAGAGAAACGTGGTGAGGATAGCGGTGAAGACAGTTGCGCCTGAGAAGACGACCTGATACAGGCCGGAGCCTGCGATGGAGAGCCCAGTGAGCCCCGTAAGAAAGCCCGCGAGCTCGTTGAACGCGAGCAGGAAGAGTTTTCTCCGCTCGGGGTGGAAGAGGCGTGCGGTAAAGGAGAGGGCGGGAGACGAGTGGGGCTTATGCTGCGCGGGCTGGTGCGTATAGATGGCGGCGTGCACGCGGTTGGCCTCCTCACCACCAGAGACGCGGACACCCAGGGCGTCGAGGAGGCGGAAGACGCGGCCGCCGAGGAAGTAGACCAGAACGATGCCCAGGTAATTCGGGAGGGCCAGGAGGAAGGTGGAGCGGTCGCCGCCGCCCGAATACAGCACGCTCTGGATGCATACCGTCTGTACCAGGCCGGTGAGGACGAAAATGATTGCAGAGAGAAGCACGCGCGGTCCGCCTCCTCGGAAGGCCATGGCGTGCGTGTGGTGGGGCGGTTACATGACGGAAGGGAGAGAGGGAGGGGGGGGTTGATGAGGACTGGATTCTGACGTAGGGGCGGGGGTGAAGAGGAGGAGTTGTGCGACAATTGGAAAGTTGATAGCGAGAGCGGCAGCCAATGGTGGGATGACAGATCTGCATGCGCCGGATGATGACGTGCGCTTGCAGACACCGGACTTACAGCGGAGGTGGGGGAAATGTGAGAATTGGTTTGTGGCGTGTGCAATTGGCGTCAAGAGTAATTGGGCTAAACCGGCGGGCCGCTAAATTACTGCCGCGGCATCGCCAGATGAGCTGTCTCTGCGCAGGGGGGCCAGGGAGGGCCGACTCCTGACCCGGCCACATACAGTACTATGGCAGTTAAAAAAAGAACCGCCCCCGGCGCCCCCGACCTCCAGACTGTAAGCCTACCCTGCAGCAACGAAAACTGATTTTCAACCATTCGCCTTTCCGTTCGAGCCTTTCGCAACTCACAACTCACCGTGTCCGTTTTAACTCCCCGCACTGTCAACTCCGTCTGCTACTAATCCTTCTTTCCCCTCACACCCC